CAGCAGCAGTAGTAGTTGTGGTGGTGGTGGAGGGGGTGGTGGTGGTGGTGGTGGTGGTAGTAGTAGGCACGGTGGTGGTGGTGGTGGTAGTAGCAGTAGCAGTAGCAGTAGCAGTAGCAGTAGCAGTAGCAGTAGCAGTAGCAGTACGAGTACGAGTAGGAGTAGGAGTAGGAGTAGGAGTAGGAGTAGGAGTAGGGGCAGGGGTAGGAGTAGGAGTACGAGTAGGAGTAGGAGCAGGAGCAGGAGCAGGAGTAGTAGCAGTAGCAGTAGCAGTAGCAGTAGCAGTAGCAGTAGCAGTAGCAGTAGCAGTAGTAGTAGCAGTAGTGGTAGGAGTAATAGTGGTAATAGTAATAATTGATGTCGTCGTCGCGGTGGCATATTTCGTCCCCACGTTGTGCTGTTTTGCGCCCCCATCGTACTTTTCACACAATATAGCCAGAAAGACATCGATCACCTTGAGTGAGCCCTGAGACGTGGTAATTCTTGCAGGATGGCAGTTGTAACGAGCAGCAGCAGTTTTGCAGCCGTGACAGCCCCGGTTCGCGATTTTGAGTTGTTTTTGATCTTAATTTTGTTGATAACTTTTTTCTTTTTGATCCGGCAGCCGATTTTGATGATGTGTTCGTAGTAACAACTTCGTACATATGTGGTGCATTTGCGGCTCAAGAGTTGTGCGCCCTTATCTTGTTCAGCGCTTTTGCCTGTTGATCGCAGCTTGCAAGAACCAAATGCTTCGTTGTTGTGGTGAATGCGAAGCCCTTTCAGCTTGTGTTTGCGAGTGTGCTGAAGGCCTGAGCTCGAATGGCGCCGATGGAGGAGGCAATCGTTGCATCAAATGTCGTGCGGACGCAAAAACACAGTGGCACGTGGAAGGCAGCATCGCCTTTGGTGTTGCCCACGCGCCCATTCCAACCAGCATGGCTGGTCGAGAACTTGATGGTTTGGACTGCTTATTCGGTGCTCATAAGCCAGTTATACATAGTGCAGCTTGGGTTACAATTAAATGCGCGGCCGAGATCGGATTGCCGAAGGCAAAGGAAATCATGGGAGCATGGACCTTGGAATCTTTGTCGTCTGCTTCCTTTTATCTGGTATGCTGCTGCCCTCGATTATGCATTGTGAGGTGGAAGCCCAGAAGTCTGCCATGGCATACAAGCACCACCAGGAAGCCAAGACGAAAGGGGCGGAAATCAATGCGGATACGATCAACAAGGCCTTGGGTGGTGATCACATGTCCATACATGTCCACGGTCTTTCTGTTTGGTTTGGCGCTGCGAAAGGTTGGAGACTTGTCCCGGCTCCTTGCTTTCCAACCTCAGTACAAGGCTCGTCAGATGCCGCTGTGCCGAATGCTAACAATGTGCGCCAACAACCAGAAGATGAGGCGCAACTGAGGGCACGACCGGACGTTGCTCAGGGTGAGTTGGTGCGAGTGACGGACCAATTTTGCTTCTGTTCGTGACTCGCATAGGAGCAGTTGTTGTCCAGCTGCGCAGGATTGGAAGCTGCTGACCCCGGACAATTACGACCGCACCTGCTTCCACATTGAGGCCCAACGGTTACGCACAACTTGACAACAGGTGCGAGAAATGCCTTTGCAAGTGGCTCCAGGTGGATGTCAAAGGAACTGGCCTGGAACATCTGGTCAATGGCAGCATGGGCAAAGCCCTGTCCGTCTACGCGCTGAATCCTGCAGACAAGGTGCTGGGATTCTGTTGATGTGAGATACTCACCACCAGAGCACAGGCATAAGTTTGCATTTGGTGCAGGTGACCGAGTTTCTCACGAAAATGAAGCTTGATCCCGATGAGACGGTGTCGGTGGAGGAGATCGCACCACAATCTGAAGACGGAACTGTTGTGGTCACGCAGCGAGCCCAGACAACGTAGCCAGTAGCAGCTGATGGTGCAACGAATGTTACGATCTCTGAGCAAGGACAGTGTACAAGCTCTTCACTCAGTACCTGGATTTGTTTGGGAAGCCGAGTCGCGAGTTCTTGAAGAAACTTTTCCCCTTTGCACAGGCCACATCAGGAGTACATTGTGAGACGCTCATGAGACCGAGCAGTCCTTCCTGGCAGGATATCATGGAGAAGGTTGCCATTGCAGAGCTAACGCTGGAAAGGAAGACCGAGGATTTTTTGGATCGCCAAGCACGTGCCTACACTTATGCCGATTACATCCTCGAGTATCCGTCGCAGCTTAGCTTCCAAACAGCGACATGTGCAACACGAGCTTGATGCTTGATGCCTCACAGACGGGGTGTGCTTGAACGCCCAGGCTCAAGATTCCGGCCAACAGCTTAGAGCGTGACAAGTACTTGTGCGTCCAACTCCAATGCCGTGGATGCTGAGAAGGTAGCAGCGCAGTGCCAACCGTTCAATGACAGCGCGTCGTCAGGTGGAGAAGTATGCCGAGCTGCTGCCGACCATTAAGCAGCGCAGAAGTCTCAGCTCCAAGACTGGTTCTTGTGAAGCTGCGAAGAAGTGCCTCTGTGCCGGTCCGCAAGTGCCCCAGGCGTGTACTCGATTTGCTCCTCCAGTGACTTCCGGCCTGGCAAATGCCAGCTGCTGGTTGTTCGCGAAGACTGGCAAGCGAAAGGCCCGGTGGTGCAGGAGCAGCTCTTTTGATAGATTGGTTCAGTTGCCAGGTGGTGACACCAAGTTTGGCTTGTGCTCCAGCTTCATGACCTTCCTCAGGCAAACCTGCAACTGTCTCTGCCGGAAGGTGCAGCCAACAACCAAAGAGAAACCGAAGGCACCTTCACAACAGCTGTTGCCACTACTCCTTCACAACAGCTGTTGCCACTACTCCTTCATGCACTGGTAGGACCTAGAAGGTGAGGATTTTATTTGGTGAGCCTTTTTGCAGACCGAACAATGCCTAGCTTCCTAGGAGCGTGCCAACGAAGAAGACTGCATCCTGCTCCGGCCTGTGCCTTGCGGATCCTTCCCGTCCAGGCCTGGGGCCATCTGCATTGCGCACGCGACCCACTCTGTCATGCAGATCCCTGAGGACCGCCCTTGCCCTTCACCCTAGCTGCCAGAGCTTTTCTGCACAAACCTTGTTTCTATGCACGTGCAGGACAAGTCTGCTCCGATCTTCATGGCTGGCTTGGGGACGGGCCTCGCGCCTTTCCGAGCCACGGCCCTGGAAATGCAGTTTGTGCTCCGCGCAACTCCTTCAAGCTGCAGGCCTACATCGAGCAGCGCAAGCACGAGAAGTCACAAGGGGCCCGAGTGGGTCCCATGACTTTGTTCTTCGGTGGCAGGCACAAGAAGGCCGAGTTCTACTACCAAGATGAGCCGCAGCCACAGATGATGGTCATGCAGCAGGTGATTGCTTCTAAGCACTTTCCAGGGTCTCACAGCATGCATGGGCTTGGTGCTCACTCGATGCACAACTGTCACGAGTCGTAAGAGCGTCGAATCCTCCAACCGAGGATGGAGGCTTACGAGAAGGAGGGCCTTGTAAAATGTTGCAACGCCTGGTCTCGCGACCAGAAGGAAAAGGTGTACGTGCAGCACAAAATCATGGAGGAAGCGGCCCTGACCCAAGCCGACCAGACAGACAGAGTTTGCAGTTACACGCTGCCTCCATTGTCCTAAGGCCAACATTTGGCAGCACCTTGGCAGGGAAGGCTCCAATGGATACTTCTTCCTGTGTGGGTCGAAGCAGCCCGAGAAGGACCTTCCTTTTTGGCTTGCTTGAGACACTCGCCGACGGCATGATTGAGCTCAAAATCGTGGGAGGACGTTTTTGCCGCTCTCGTAAAGATCATGGAGACGAAGGGAGGTGCGGCGATCTAACAGCTCGAAAAGCTTGCACTGCATAGTCTTCGTTTGGTACGCTTATTAACGGCTTAGTAGACGAATCGTGTGCGAAAGTGGTCTTCGAATTGCGCTCCTACTTGGGATTGAGGAGGGGTTGGAAAGGGCCGTTGAGTTCAAAGACTGCGCCATTTTGAGAGCTGGCATCTTGTTCCTTATGTCCCATGGCGAACTTTGACAGTTTTATCCCTTTGCTGCAGGTCTCACGAACGAGCAAGCCCACAAGAAAATGGAGAGCCTACAGCTTGCTGGCCGGTATGCCAGGGCCGCTGCTACGTGGAAGCGAGTTGCTGTGAGCTTATGTAAACCATCAAAACGACCTGTTTGTCAAGGTCACGGAAGTCTACTGATCTGCCGATGCAGAGCACCTGTTCGCTTCTTGTTTGCATGATGGATAATGATGGATTGGGGCGAACTCAGCCGTTGCACTCACGTGAATCTCGACAGGAATTGGCATAGCTTCGAACAGACTGACAAAGGTGTCACTCGAAAGCGCTTGACAAGCGCAGGCTTGCTGCCCTTGAACGCCATAGATGATATGAGAAGGTCAAATTCAACAGTGGTTTCCCACCAGGGCTGGCGAGTCAAAGTTGGCAGCAGGTAGCTGCATATGCAGCATTTTCCAAGCCAGCCAGCTTTCAATCTTATTGCGAGCATACCGCGACATCCGGTCTGGCCACACGAGGTTCAGCCGAGACTCGCGAAGCTCCCTTCCCTCCACAGGAGCATGCCCGAGTAGTGCATGTCCTTTTCTTCAGGTCTGCCAAAGACGGCAGATATCTCAGGATGTCCAATCAAGTCCAAAGCCCCTCCAAGGCCCAAATCCAGTTCAAGCATCAGCTTGAAGGCTCCTGCAGATTTTGGTGGCCGTCCATGGATGTGCAAAAGACCGCGAACTTGCAGGTTAACATCGCTGCCTGCGCAGTTTCCTTTCGCTCCTGCTCCTAGTGGGCAGAGCCTGTTTCCAAAGCTTGGCTTAGACAAGCTTCAAGTCTGTTGCAGCAGAAACATTCCACGACTTTCTCAAGCAAGGAACTTGTGAAAGCAGAGAGTGAAAGTTGGTCTGACGCAGCATGTGGCGAGCATGGGTTGCAGACACTTGAATGGGCAGTGGGGGCCTTACGGGGCTTGACTGATGCCGATTCGTTCGGTGGACACACTGATTGCCAAGATGGGGGCGGCCTCCTCCACAGAGTCCACTGCAGATACAACAAAGAAGAGGTGGAGTGAAGCACTCAAAGCTTGAAGTTCAAGTTCGGTTCACTTTCGGGCTCTTGACTCAAGGCTGCCACATCACCGGCAGGTCGAAAGGAAAGAGCTCCAAGAAAAAAGCGGCTGCAGAACTCCAAGATGGAAAGGGCAGGTCGGAGAAACTCGAAGAGCCGGATGCAGAGGTGCAGCCGAAGAGAGAGCACCCCTGAGAAATCTGATATGCATAGCGGCATAGCCCAGCATCGCTTCTCTTTGGCAGGATCTGCAACCCGTCCTTCCAGAGCTTTCTCAGGCTCTGGGTCCAGCGGGCCCGGAGTGGCCGGAAGGATGCCCTGAGCCTAGAGCCAAAGTGCTACATTCGAGACCTGAAAGCGAGGGACTCGAGGCGCAGGAGACGTTGCCACTGCCTGACATACACTTCGAGACAACTCCGTCCCTAGAAGGTGAGGCTTACGACAACTTCCAGCTGGAGGGTTACGACAACTTCCCGAACTTCTCAGAAACGCGCGAGCGGGAGTCTTTCGGAGTTTTCGGGTTCTTGCCGGCGAAGAAGGACCTGCAGAGCAGCTCCTCCTACCGCATCCCTACAAGAAGGCAACGAAATTCCAATGTCCACGCGTCGCAAGCGCTTCGAGTACGACTTCTTCGAGTTAGTGTTCCGCAGCAGAGCACGGGCTTGCCAGGAGATTTGGCAGATCTCTATGTGAAGCTTCGGCTTGGAGCCCAAAGCTTTCGCACCCCTTGCATTGAGAATGATCAGATGGTGGTTGATGGCAACGACTTCACATTTCAGTTTGTCTACGACAGCCTTCAGCTTGAGGTGATGAGGGTAAGTGCGTTTAGGGATGAACTGCTGTGTAGAGTCGCTGTGGAATTGGGCCGGCATAATCTCGTGGCTGGTGAGTGGCGGCGGCAACGGCTCCCCATTCCAGAAAAACACGGCGAAGTAGAGTTTGAGCTTCTATTGGGTACCCCGGTTGAAGTGTCAGAGCATGCGGCAGAACGGAAGAAAACGGCAGAAGCTGCGGAGGAGGAGCTTGAGTACCAGGGGCCTCGCATGTTCCAGCCAAAAGCTCATGCATTGCCATGGGAAGGTGTTCGGGTGTTGGAACTTACCCGCCGAACATGGACTGCTGCCCTCTGCGGCCAGATGATGGCTGCATCCGGTGCTGAGGTCATTCGTGTAGCTTTCGGAGAGGAGGCACTTCTTGCGCGAAAGAAAGGAAATGCCCCTAGGAAGCCACTGAGATCGAAGGATACGGACAGCTTGGAGAAGGCAAAGGCCAACCTGGTGCCGCGACAGCTCCATGTGGGGAAACGTCTTGCCCCTCTTCACCCCGAAGATCCTGAAGAAATGGCTCTTCTTCGATCGGACCTCTTGGCTGGATGCAACGTCTTCCTCACAGATCTCCCAGCAGATGAGCTGGAGGACATGCAGCTCAGCACACAGACTCTGCGAAGCAGGTTTCCGCATCTGATTTACATACATACCTCCTGCATCGGGATGCTTGCAGATGTTGCCAAGAAGGGAGTAAACGATGCCGGTGCATTCTTTTGCTTGTCGGGAATGGCCGAGCAGCTTGGTCACTTTCTCGGCCCGGCTGGCTTTGCAGCGGCGGTCTCGGCCTCCGCCTTGTTTGGAGTTGCATGCATGGCTGTGATGCGCCGGCGATGCGGCAGTCCAGGAGACCGAGTTGAGATGAGCATCTTCAGAGCAGGCCGATGGTGTGCGGCTCTTGGTGCTCTGACTGGATGGCACAAGCCGCAGCAACCCGATTTGCGGTTTTTCCTGGAGCCAGACACAAAGAAGATGCTAGCGACACCCTTCGACGTCGAAGGTGTGGCGCATGTCCGACCGGCAATCAGGTCATCGCAACCCGACACACACATCAGATGGACCGTCAAGGATCCAGCATCTCTGATGCCTGGTGTAATGCCAGGCTGTCCAGTTGCGTCTGAATTACCACTGGCTCGGGTTTCGGTCATTGAGATCAGCGACGAGTATCAAGTCTCCGCTTCTGCAGTCGGGGCGCTCCTGGCCGACTTAGGCGCTCGCGTAACAAAGTTGGAGCGACCACAGAGGCCAGACCCCTGGAAGAGAACTTGTCCCCAGCTCTACAAAGACTTGACTGCCAGAAAGAGTGTGAGCGTGGTGAACTATTCGGGAGTGGGAGGGGTTGATGCCAGGGGGGACCCCGTCCCGGGACAAGCGGCTTTATACAGGACGTTAGCTCAGGCGACGATTCTAGTGACAAACTTGCCGTTGGCAGCGCTTGCAGCTTGGGGTCTGGAGCCGAAGCATATGCGGGAGATGTTCCCGCACTTGATCATTCTCTGGATCACGACTTGGGGTTGTGATGAGACGGCCCGGCAAAAGGAGTTGACCTTCGGTCGGAAGGGCGGTCAAGAAGCACATGCCTTCTGGGAGGCAAGTGGCCTGTGCCAGGCTTTCAACGGCAATGCCATGCCACCGGGCCTGAGCGAGTTGGCGGTGGCACAACATGCCTTGGGAGGCTTGGGCATGGCTTTGCTTCGCCAGCAGCGAACTGGAGCTGGGCAGCTGGTTCACATCAGTCGGTACCAAGCGGGCCTCTATTGCCAAAGCATTTCGAGCATTGAGCCCGTTGCACTGCTGGCAAGTCCGCTTCTCCAGACCCTGGACGGCCGATTCCTCCGACTGCTTGGACGAGGAGTCCAAATCCAGAAACCTCAAGAACACAGCCCTTCACATACTTAGTCTGTCTCAGGACATCAGCCACACGATGCATGGGTCCTCCTTCATGCTCTGGGCCGCCGAGAGAGCCTGATGAAGCGTGCTGGAAGCCCGACTTATCTGGGCATATCTGGCACTCCGTCACAGCTGCAGGGAGATCCCGGTAGGTTCCAGCCTGTGCACAGGCCTCGTCATGTCGAAATACCCGAGGAAACATGGACACGCTGCGCAAAGAGCTGCAGGGCTACACTTGGGAGGCCAGGGACCTGGAGGGAGCTCGGATCCAGAATGAAGACTTGAACCCGCCTGAAGCCAGGATCTTCAAAAGCATCAAGACGAGCTACTGGCATGTGCAAGGAACTGGAGCTTTCAGGAGTGGCCCTGGCACGAAGAAGTGAGCGTTGGAAAGTGTATCCAAGAGTCTGCGGCAGGACCTGGTCAAGGCCTTCCAGGACCTCGTTTCGAGATGCCGAGTGAGGGGAGTGTCGAGTTTCCGTCGTGTGCAGGAGAAGGGCATTGATTGGATTGTCGAGGAAATGAGGCCCATGGATGCAGAGGCTCTGCACAGGCCGAGTGAAGGGCAGCAGAATGCAGCGGATGTTTCCTGAGGTAGGGCTCTGGCGAAATTGAATTGCGATTACTGCATCGGAGCTGGCTCAATCGCAGAGTTGCGGCTGCCGCTGGCGTGCACCGATGGCCGATGCGCCTGCGCGGGACCGGTCCAGGTCACCACCACCGACAGCTGCCGGAACTCGTGTCAAGGCAGGGCTCCTTAGCCGGCTAAGCTCAGCGGGGAGGGGGGCCAGGAGCTTGGCGGCAGCCTCGCAGGAGATACGAGTAATTGGAGACAGCCGCGTGCTGATTGCACCTGGCCTCGTCGATGAGATCCCTTCGAGACTGCACTCGGCTGGATTAAAGCCAGCGGCACTGGCGCCGTGCTCAGATCAACAGGATGCCAGAGCAAATATTTCCGTCTTCGTCTACCGAGGTTATTGTGAGTGATAAGACCGTCGACAGATCCTGCCTCAGTTGCGCTTTTGTTTTGAGTTGTGCATGCGGGGGAATGGCTTCGCCGTCGGGCTTTTCTGAAGGTCACTACGGCGATCGCTTGGTCAAGGCATTCGAAACCTTTGCCGCTCAAGGCGGAGCCGCCGCCACCCGTGTTTTGAGGTATGCTTTTCCAGCTGGTGAGTCGTCGAAGAATCGTGACACAAAGTCTGCCATCGAGGAGACTTGGAAGCAGTGGGAGGCATAGGTCTTCACGCCACTGGGCTCTAGACTTCTAGACTCTCCATTGGAGGACTACATGCTGGCAAACAAGTGCACGCGGGACTCTGCAATCCTTGCGCTGGGCGGCGGCGTTGTGGGCGACCTCGCCGGCTTCACCGCCGCAACATACATGAGAGGTATTCCAGTCGTTCAGGTTCCGACTTCCACCATGGCGATGATTGACTCCAGCGTAGGAGGAAAGACAGCTCTGAACGTTCCTGCCGGGAAGAATTTGATCGGGGCCTTTCACCAGCCGAAGATTATCTTCGCAGATCCAACCGTGCTGGGGACGCTGAGCCGCCGAGAAGTCGTAGAGGGCCTGGCAGAAGCAATCAAGATGGGCGTCATTCGAGACGCGGAGCTGTTCCGAACCATGGCCAAGAATCCCGAAGCCATCATGTCGTTAGACGCGCAGCTGTTGCAGGACGTTCTGCACAAGGCAGTAGCCCACAAAGCTGAGATCGTCGCCATAGACGAAAAGGAGACGGGTCTTAGAGCGACCTTGAACTATGGCCATACAATTGGTCATGCCATTGAAGCACTGGTATCGCCGAAGATGCTGCACGGAGAGTGTGTTGCAATAGGATGTGTGGCCGAGGCCGAACTTGCTCATAAGATGGGCCACCTTAGCGCCGAAGCCATCCCGGAGATTCGCAAATGCTTCGAAGCCTACGGCCTTCCAGTGGTGCCCCCTCCAGGCCTCTCACTGGATAAGCTTATGGATAAAATGGCTGTCGACAAGAAGAATCAAGGAAAGACAATTCGGTGTACTATCATTACGTCGGTTGGCACCAGCATCGACCACCCTCTCCCGGTCAAGCGCGAGCTGATGGAGCTCGTGGTGGGTGAAATGCTGAAGAATTCAGCTGTTCCCCCGCATGGCTGGTAGCAGGTAGTGTGTCGGTGCCGAAAGTGGCAAGAGTTCTTCACCAGACTGGCCGATTTATGGCAGTGGCAAGAAAGCGGCAGTGCTTGATTCTGTGTCTGCGGGGATAGCTCGCGAGCAAACGTCGTCAACTGAATGTGAGGCAACGCGCAGAGCAGGTGGAGGTCTTGCGGCAACGTCAGCAAGATGCTGCCGAGAAAGCCTTGGAGATGGCCACTGGGGAAGCATTTCTAGAGACTAAGTCAGAACTGAAGAAATTCTTTCCAAAATCTGTAGGCCATGAACCATTGAAGATCGTGTCTTGACTTCAAGGCCCAGCGAGCAGTTGAGCTTCAGCACCTTGGCTCCGACTCTCGACGGCAGCAATATCGGCAGGACCACTTGCGGGCCGAGGCGCGATCTCTCCGATTCGAAGGGCCACGCGCAACGCGAGCTTCAGGAGCAGTCACCACCTCAGCACGCGAAGTTTTGCAGCGGCTCTGCTTCTGGGCGGGTGGGATCAGGTTGGCCGATCAAACAGAGCAGCAGCAGAAGATGGAACTCCTCCGTGAGCAGTACCAGACAGGGGCAGCTTTCCGAGTTTCCTCTCGTTTCCTCGTGTCGACTGACGCGAAATCCAACTCGACATGCAAGGTGGCACCCATTGTGGGTGTGACCGTTGATGGCGGGGAAGGCAGGTCAGGGTGATGTGTCTGTCCCTGGCATGACCAAATGGCTCCTGCTCAGGACTTGAGAGCGACACCAAGGGTTTCAACCTGGATACGTGCGCCGCACCTGCAATTGCAGCATTGGTCTGTGCAGCCGGATGTCCTGCAACAACTTACAACTTCTGCTCGGGAAGAAATCAGGTATGTACTGTTGTGAGCAGGTACTGCGTCATCGAGATCGCAAACAAGCCGTACACCCGATTGCAAACAGGAGTGCTCAAGGCAGGTCTCAAGAAGTGAGCAAGTGAATGTGCGAGCGCGGGTGTGAGTGAGTGTGTGTGTGTGTGTGAGTGTGTGTGTGTGTGTGTGTGTGTGTGTGTGTGCGGTCCTCGTTCATGGACTTATGTAGTGGGGTCACACCCCTTTTCTTCGTTTCATTATCATTTCCATTGGGGGGGGGGGTGTAGGGGAGCTCCGTCCAAAGCTCTCCCCTGCATCTCAGGAAAACGTACCTGCATTGGTCTGCGCCTGGGCTCCGTCGTGGGCAGCTGCCGGTACCGTTACCTGTTTTTCATCTTCATTTCACCTCGTGCTATATCATTTCCTGGTGTCTGACGTAGCGGTGCAGGACCCTTACCCAACATAGATCATCTCATCTTGTTCTTGCTGTGTATGCCATTCCTTTGGTCTGGCATACATGTTACCAAAATCTCATCTCAGCCTTGAAGAATGTGCATGCACAAGTGTGTGTGTGTGTAAACACCTGGACATGGCGACCGATCGAGTGCAAGGGCACAGGCCCGTCTTGGATGCCTGTGTTAACGAAGCTATTCCAAGATGGGGGAAGGGTGGTCTGATCAACCACTTGTACCTGCAAATGCGGCCAGCCCAAAAAATGCCCTTAAATGTGTTGCTTCTATCATAGGCCGAATCGTGAAGCTAAGCCTGCACAGTTGCTGCAATATGCTGCAATCTGTCTTTGTCTCGTCTGGTCCTGTCTGTCTTCCTTCGCATCAGCACGTGCCGAGCCAAAGTGTGTGTCGTTCTGGCTTACCCGAAATTCGGGGCCAGATTAGAGTCGGCGAAAGTCCAAGCCCGCGATAGCAGATGACACGCCAACCCTGCAGACTGAATGTCATTGTGCATTAATCATCATGTGGTTTAGGATCACTTTCCGAAGCTGTCCGATGCCTTCCATCACGTTCACCTCGGACTGACGTTTGCAAGTGAATCTCTTAGACGCTCGTTTGCTGCCAGTGGCTGCATGTCGGAGGGCTGCTGGGGATGGGGCTACGCGACGCAACGGAGGCAGGTTTCAGGCAGTGAGGGTTGTGTCCTGAGTGCGAGTCTGCAAGTGCCGTGCAGGGTTTCGGGGTGTCGTTCCTGTAGGTCTGAGGTATGAGGCGGGACTTGACCTGTGGGATTTGGTGTACATGCATCGCTTGGTAACTTGCAACTCAAGTTGTTCTTTGTGAACTTCTCGCCTTTTAGGATGCTGTTCGACTCCCGCACGGGACAATGCATCGGGCCCTGATGCACAGGGGACAGGACCCTATCCCCACTTGTGGGGCAGAGGACAGGACCCATATCCTCACTACGTTGCACCTGGGAACTGGCACATGTGCCGGAGACAGGACGCTGTCCCCACTACTCGGCACACTCGACGACGAGGACGAGGCGATTGACGACGACGATTCCTTTGGCCTCCGCTTGGGGCCGGTCAAGCATTGCGGCAGCCCGGTCTATTCCGGGCGTGTGTGTGTGTGTGTGTGTGTGTGTGTAAACGCCTGGACATGGCGACCGATCGAGTGCAAGGGCACAGGCCCGTCTTGGATGCCTGTGTTAACGAAGCTATTCCAAGATGGGGGAAGGGTGGTCTGATCAACCACCTGTACCTGCAAGTGCAGCCAGCCCAAGAAATACTCGTAGATGTGTTGCTTCTATCATGGGCCGAATCGTGAAACTAAGCCTGCACAGTTGCTGCAATCTGTCTTTGTCTCATCTGCTCCTGTCTGTCTTCCTTCGCATCAGTACGTGCCGAGCCAAAGTGTGTGTGGGTGTGTGTTCGTGTGTGCGTGTGATTGCGCGTGAATGCGCGTTCGTGCGCGTGCGTGCTGTCCTTTGAACGTTATTCCGTGTCAGGGAACGGAGCCCGCCTGGGACTTCACGGGTGTGCTCCAGAACTACGCTTTTGGAGACGTTCTGAAGTTTGCTGTGTACTGCAAGGACGCGAGTAGAGACATGCAATGTCCAATCGCCATACGCAGAGCGCAGGTTTTCAGCCGAAATCGTAAGGAATCTCGGCTCAGTCTGAGGGAGCGCTCCTTGTAGCTGCGTGCGATGGCTCGTCGACAGCTGGTTCCGCTGCTCCTGGCTGCGGCGTGCGTGCTGCTTTGCCAAAGGGTCGGCACCCTGCTTTTCGCCAATGCCCCTTCCAGCAGCCTGCGTGGACAGGTTGCCATGAGGGCCGAGATGGAGGAAGGCTTGATCAAGCCAGAGGATGCCGGCAAGATCACGACCAGGGACAAGAACAACAACCCGCCGCGCATCGCCATCAAGACCAACGACTGGGACCAGCCAGAGCTTCAGCTGAGCACCGGTGCCAGCAACCAGATTAGCTACATCACTCCGGTTGTGGAGTCAGAGGACATCAAGGCGTGGCTCTCTCTCAACGTGAACCTGTTCTCTGGGCTCATCCTCTTCACCGCCGGCGGGATCATCGAGATCCAGCGCTTCTTCCCCGATACCCTCTACTGGTGATCTGGTTAGACATGGATGCCTAAGTTTTTGAAAGTCTCTCTGCGCCATGCTCTCTGACGTTTCACAAGCGACCGATTTGGTGTTTGAGTGGCGGGCAAAGCGCCGAGTGCTTGAGTTTCAGCTTCAGCCCAACTGCCTGCAGGCGCCCTCGGGGATGCACACAAATCACATGCCTGTGCGGTTTTGATGCTTGAGGGCTTTGGCGACTAGCTTAGGCTGTGATTGCAGGGTGTGCAGCAATGGCTCGTCGACAGCTGGTTCCGCTGCTCCTGGCTGCGGCGTGCGTGCTGCTTTGCCAAAGGGTCGGCACCCTGCTTTTCGCCAATGCCCCTTCCAGCAGCCTGCGTGGACAGGTTGCCATGAGGGCCGAGATGGAGGAAGGCCTGATCAAGCCAGAGGATGCCGGCAAGATCACGACCAGGGACAAGAACAACAACCCGCCGCGCATCGCCATCAAGACCAACGACTGGGACCAGCCAGAGCTTCAGCTGAGCACCGGTGCCAGCAACCAGATCAGCTACATCACTCCGGTTGTGGAGTCAGAGGACATCAAGGCGTGGCTCTCTCTCAATGTGAACCTGTTCTCTGGGCTCATCCTCTTCACCGCCGGCGGGATTATCGAGATCCAGCGCTTCTTCCCCGATACCCTCTACTGGTGATCTGGTTAGACATGGGTGCCGAAGTTTTTGAAAGTCTCTTTGCGCCATGCTCTCTGACGTTTCACAAGCGACCGATTTGGTGTTTGAGTGGCGGGCAAAGAGTTTCAGCTTCCGCCCAACTGCCTGCAGGCGCCCTCGGGGATGTACACAAATCAAATGCCTGTGCGATTTTGATGCTTGAGGGCTTTGGCGACTAGCTTAGGCTGTGATTGCAGGGTGTGCAGCAATGGCTCGTCGACAGCTGGTTCCGCTGCTCCTGGCTGCGGCGTGCGTGCTGCTTTGCCAAAGGGTCGGCACCCTGCTTTTCGCCAATGCCCCTTCCAGCAGCCTGCGTGGACAGGTTGCCATGAGGGCCGAGATGGAGGAAGGCCTGATCAAGCCAGAGGATGCCGGCAAGATCACGACCAGGGACAAGAACAACAACCCGCCGCGCATCGCCATCAAGACCAACGACTGGGACCAGCCAGAGCTTCAGCTGAGCACCGGTGCCAGCAACCAGATTAGCTACATCACTCCGGTTGTGGAGTCAGAGGACATCAAGGCGTGGCTCTCTCTCAATGTGAACCTGTTCTCTGGGCTCATCCTCTTCACCGCCGGCGGGATTATCGAGATCCAGCGCTTCTTCCCCGATACCCTCTACTGGTGATTCGCCCCACAGATCAGGCTGCCTTGCGCAGCTCTTTTTTGAACCATGCAGTGGCACAATTCCTGTTGTACAGTGACTGGCGGTTGACGGCAGCCTTGGTGCGTTGCTGGCAGCACCTGTGAACGGACGCATGCTCGAGCAGGTGTTCTGAAACAACTGTTTCTGCAAGATGGGCAGTTGCGATCTTCGTGAGTGCAGCATTGCGTTTTTCTGCATTGGCAGGGGCCAGCCGTTGAAAAATGAGGGTTCATGTGCATAGCTTTTTGGTTCGGGGAGTTTCCAAGCAGCTGTCGGACGTAGGTTGGGATGGCTCGTCGACAGCTGGTTCCGCTGCTCCTGGCTGCGGCGTGCGTGCTGCTTTGCCAAAGGGTCGGCACCCTGCTTTTCGCCAATGCCCCTTCCAGCAGCCTGCGTGGACAGGTTGCCATGAGGGCCGAGATGGAGGAAGGCCTGATCAAGCCAGAGGATGCCGGCAAGATCACGACCAGGGACAAGAACAACAACCCGCCGCGCATCGCCATCAAGACCAACGACTGGGACCAGCCAGAGCTTCAGCTGAGCACCGGTGCCAGCAACCAGATTAGCTACATCACTCCGGTTGTGGAGTCAGAGGACATCAAGGCGTGGCTCTCTCTCAATGTGAACCTGTTCTCTGGGCTCATCCTCTTCACCGCCGGCGGGATCATCGAGATCCAGCGCTTCTTCCCCGATACCCTCTACTGGTGATTCGCCTTCTGCAGCGCGTTTTTGGAAGCTGAGTTGTGTTGAGGTTAGTGTGTGCGAATTGTTGTGTGTTAGGGTAGCAGTTGGAATGACGAGTGCTCGAGCAGGTGGTCAGCAGAAAGGTCCAGTTGGCGCTACATTCAAGTGTCCACGACGTTTGGTTGCTATGTCTGCGTGCTTCGACATGCAGTCCGCTTGTCCCATATTCCACCGCAGCACTTTGTTGGTTCGGGGTCTGCCCGGTTATCGGGGCTTGCTGGTTGAGATGGCTCGCCGGGGTCAGATGGTTCCGCTGCTCCTGGCTGCGGCGTGCGTGCTGCTTTGCCAAAGGGTCGGCACCCTGCTTTTCGCCAATGCCCCTTCCAGCAGCCTGCGTGGACAGGTTGCCATGAGGGCCGAGATGGAGGAAGGCCTGATCAAGCCAGAGGATGCCGGCAAGATCACGACCAGGGACAAGAACAACAACCCGCCGCGCATCGCCATCAAGACCAACGACTGGGACCAGCCAGAGCTTCAGCTGAGCACCGGTGCCAGCAACCAGATTAGCTACATCACTCCGGTTGTGGAGTCAGAGGACATCAAGGCGTGGCTCTCTCTCAATGTGAACCTGTTCTCTGGGCTCATCCTCTTCACCGCCGGCGGCATCATCGAGATCCAGCGCTTCTTCCCCGATACCCTCTACTGGTGATTCGCCCGGCCCTAAAGCTGCGCTTTTTGAAACTTGTACTCGTTTTCGGGCACTTATGTACAGAGTGGCTTGGTGCGGTGTGTATAGCCGGTAGTGCCCGTGAAATGACGTGTGCGCGTCGGCAGCAAAAGCCCAATGGATGGATGTTGCAAGTAGACAATCCGGACCTGCTACTTTCCTGTCTTTTGGGATCTGTGTGCAACGGATCCTATTTTCAGGAGGTGCCAGTTGCAGTTTACGATGGGCATGTAAGTTGTTCGAAAGATGGTCTGGGTACCTCCGCAGGGTCTGGGTTCGGAGACAGACGATCGCGTGTGCAGAGATATCGGGGTTGGTTGAGATGGCTCGCCGGGGTCAGATGGTTCCGCTGCTCCTGGCTGCGGCGTGCGTGCTGCTTTGCCAAAGGGTCGGCACCCTGCTTTTCGCCAATGCCCCTTCCAGCAGCCTGCGTGGACAGGTTGCCATGAGGGCCGAGATGGAGGAAGGCCTGATCAAGCCAGAGGATGCCGGCAAGATCACGACCAGGGACAAGAACAACAACCCGCCGCGCATCGCCATCAAGACCAACGACTGGGACCAGCCAGAGCTTCAGCTGAGCACCGGTGCCAGCAACCAGATTAGCTACATCACTCCGGTTGTGGAGTCAGAGGACATCAAGGCGTGGCTCTCTCTCAATGTGAACCTGTTCTCTGGGCTCATCCTCTTCACCGCCGGCGGGATCATCGAGATTCAGCGCTTCTTCCCCGATACCCTCTACTGGTGATTCGCCCGGCCTTACTTCAGGCGTTTTTAATGCTGCCAGGACTTCGGCCCATTTGTGGAAAGGAGGAGAATAGTTGGTCGGTTGACGAGAAACTGCACAAAGCTTGGATGGCACGATGTGGCACCTTCGCCGCCGTGCAGCCCTCTAGCTTGCAATCACATGACCCGACAAAGTGCTAGAGATTCCCGAGTTCTGCCGCTTGCTGCGTGCAAAAGATTGCAAAAGTATGCAGGCTAGCTTTCGCTGTTTGCAGCCTTGAATCTTGAACTTTGAGTATCATTGATCTGTATGTTGCAGCGACCTGAGCCTCGCTTTCGAACCGTAGGAGCCGGAACTTGGACCTGTCGACCCATTGGCTGCACCAGCGACGGTGGAGCACACTACAGTCCTGTATCTGCAGGTGCATCATTATTGGCAGCCAGCAGCACCCCAGACGCGGTATGTTGAACATGTGCATCAGGTTGCAGCAGCCTACAATCTCATCAACAGGGACACGGGGGTTCTGGGAGATGTGCCCTGATCCGAGACATCTTGCTTTCCGGCATAGTGAGGCATAGTGACTGGAAGCCCCTGGACTCGGCCAAGGTCTGACCCGTACGTGGTGGCGCAAGTTGGAAGCATGACGCAGCAAACGCCAGTCATCAACAACGAACTGAACCCTGTTTGGCAGGCTGGAGCAACGGCACCCAGCCTCTGAACCCAGCGGTTCCGTTTGTGGGGTGGCGCAGGAAAACAACCAGTTCTCCTTCAACATTGTGGATCACAGTGCGGATCGCTATCTTGAGTTGAAGGCCCCTGAAGCACTGCAGGCATCTTGCAGTGGCCCCCCGGATCTCGGCAATGCCAAGGTGATGAACTCCAACGTTATGAAGGATGACAGTCTGGGTAGCATCAGAGTTGACACGCGCTCCATCGATCCCGGTCAGTGGCTTCTCGGTGTAACTGTGACCCAAGTCGCCTTTCCTCACAAATCTCACAACACCCCCGCATCTGCCTGGAAGACAAGGCACCACTATCGGCTGAAGCTGGAAGAAGGCCAAGGCGGCGAGCCTGCGACCTGGTCGCTCCTATTTCCAGTCGCAAATCGGGAGATTGCTGATTTGTTCTTAAATACGCCTGGGGCAGACCGGCAGAGGTTGGAGTTCGACGTCTTCCTGAAGCCGGCAGCGAGAGCCTGGCCTGTCTTCTCGGAGCCCAGCCCGGGCGGAGGCCCTGAGCGGTGGTTTACTGCCAGGCCATGCAAGCCTCAGCAGCGTGCAGATGAGCTTCTAGGCTGCGGCCTTTGAGCTCAACGCTGCTTCGTAGCGGATGGCCATTCTGGGCTGAAGCATAGCAATTAGAATGAAGTTGAAAGGTCAGGCAGAGGCGGAGATGTCGAAGTTCTACCCGCTTGGGCCATGGTGATGCGCAGCAGGTGTTACTTGTCGTGCCCTTGCCGGTAGCTGGAGGGAACTCTCGGTTTGGTCGCTTGTGAATTCTTGCTTTATTTCTGTTGCTGGTCGGTTCATGTCTTCGTTTCGGTGCCAGTACTTCACCACGGCGCACCAGGGAAGGTATCATGCAGGAAAAAGCAGCTCGATCGACTGCAAGTGCTGAGGCATGGCTTTGAGGGTGCCTTGCCTTTGTTGCGAGCGGGCTCGCCTTCCAAAGTGAGTGGCCAAGCGTGTCCGAAGTTCACTCGGGACGGGTCCGGAATAGCTCGTGAGGCCTTGCTCCACGTCTTCATCGAGGTAGAGCCGCAGGGCGTCAAGTTGGCACGCCGAGGTGCTAGAAGTCGCGGTCGACCTAACCAACCGATAAACCCTGGTGGGAGGCTCTGGCCATCGACGCACAGGGTCTGAAATGAGCCATTCGCCGCGAATGGGTGGTCATCGCCGAACGACTTCCGAAATGAGCTTCGTGTCCAGTTCCTAGCCGTGGGGACCTGTTGCATGTCTGTCTATGTGAAGCACAATGTGTGTGCGCGTGAGTGCACGCATGAGCGTCCAAAGAGTGCAGGTCCATGCGCTCTGGATCGCTTCTCTATGGCCCCACCGGAGCCCAAATCTTATCAATGCCATGCGCTACACCGGACAATGCCACACTTTGCCCGTGATGGATTCCAGGCTGGCAAGCCACAGGCTTCCGAATCATAGAATCGGTGGTTCGGTCTGGTTCCAAGTTCTGATCCGCTTCTGCAAGGCCGTCCCTGAGGTCCCGGCCACGGCGGCAAGCGACAGGCGCAGGGATGATTTGCTGCGTGCCGTTGACAGCCTCGTCGCCGGCCTCCCAGAGGCAACCCCCCGGTGAAGCGAAGGAAGCTGACAAGAGCGTGCCGGGCTCTGCTGGCCTCTGCACGCTTCGTGTGCTCGAGCTGTGGATGCCGGGTCAAGTTTGGAACTCGAAGTGCTGCAGCCCTAGGTTCTACAGATCCGTCCTCTACTCGTGATATCGACCAGTCAACGTGAAAGTGTTTCGTGCCTCATTCTCGGGTTGAGGTGTGAATCAGGCCATCGACCTCCCGAACCGAGACACTGGGTTCTTTGGAGATGTGCCCTGGCCTGAGCAAGCCTTTGTGCCACGTTATGGTGTTTGGTGTTCAGCCCGGCACTTCGCCGGGAGCGACCGAGATCCGATCCCTATGTGATCGTCCGGGCTGCTGGGGTGGAGCAGAAGACACCCGTCATCATGAACAACTTGAATCCGGTTTGGGAGGACCGATGCAAAAAAGCAGAGTTAGGAGCACGGCTCGCGGCTCGCAGACTTTGGCAGGAAGGTAATCTGTTCACCTTCGACATTTCAGCGGATGATCACATTGTCGAACTGAAGGCGCTGGCATTGCTTTTCACCAGGAGCAAAGATTTGAATGTTTGAATGCAAGAGGTGATGGATTCAAACACATTCAAAGATAGCCTGTTGGGCAGCTGCGAGCTGGACCTCCGCTCCATTCAGCATGTCCGGAGCTCTTTCTCAAAGCTGGCCGTACCCTTCTGGCCTTGTGGTTCGTTCGAGGGAATGTGGACCAGCTTCCGCGAGAAGATGGGCAGCGGAGAGCTGGTGCCCGGGCCTTGAAGCCGGCGCTGCCTGGCACAAAATGCAATTGCTCACGAAGATTCCGGTAGGTTCGATCTCTTCTTCAAGTCGACGGAGTGCGCTCCAGTCCCCACCTGCACTTTCTTGATCTGTCATATGATCCATACCGTACTACGGCATGAGGTACCGCATCTTGGCGACGGAACAGACTAGCGTGCGTGGTGCTGAGTCGTCTGAGTCGCTTGCTTCAGTGCATTCACGCCACTGGCACGCATGTACTCATCGTACTCTTGTCGCCTGGAGGATTCACCTGCGCATCAATTGTGGCAGAAATTTGCTCAACAAGGATTCGGGCGACGGGGCCCCAGGTTTTGGAGCCCTGCTTGTCACAGGGCAGCATTGAGCATTGCAGCATGGGCAGCTCCAAGCAAGCCGAGGTAATGGGCGACGTGTCGAGCCCTCGTGCAGGAGTTTTGAGAGTGTTTAGCTGTGTTAGGTCAGCACCTAAGCTTGAGCTTCTCGTGATTTGCTCGCTTTGGCCCAGTCTGAGTAGCTAGACCAAGCAGGTTTTTGAGAGAAGCTTGGCAGAATGGCGTGTTTTTCAAAGCCAATGGGAGCAGGCAGCTCAGATGGAGATCGCAAGCGACGCATGCGACGCATGGGTCTTGCTGCTTTGGCGACCTCCACTGTGCTGCCAGTCGCGAATGGATTTGTCATTGGCCCGGTGGCACGCGCTACTCCAAAACCCAGTTTGAACACCAATCTCAACACACCTCCACTTTTGGATGGCCAGGATCCCCCAAGCTCGAGTAAGACGGCTGTGCGGACTGCAGCAGCCGCAATGTCCGCCCTGGCTTGCCAGCTGAGCTGGATTTTCCCGAAGCGCAGCGCACGGAAGAGCGTGAAGGCAGTGCAGGGTACAGGTGCACCTGCCGGGCCGGTCAGTTCCGGCTTCAGCTCAAGCCTCTCATCCAGTGGCTCTGCATTCCTCGGCGCTACTGTGGCTGGCTCGGTGACGGCGGCTCCAACACGCTCTGCTTCGTCTACGTCTTCCATGAAGATGCTCTTCGAGAGGTTCAACGAGAATGCTTTGAGGTCCGTCATGTCCTCTCAGCAGCACTGCCGACGTCTTGGTCAAAGCCAGCTCGGAACAGAGATTCTCCTTGTTGGAATCATGAAGCAGGGAAAGGGCGTCGTGGAGGCCGTCGTAAAGAAGCTCGGTATTGACATTGAAGCGGCCTCCCAGCGAGTGGCCGAGCTACTTGGGCAGGGTGACGGCCAGGTGCCTTCTGACATTCCGTTTTCTCCAGCATGCAAGAAGATCTTGCAAACCGCAGTGGACGATTCCAAGAAGCTGGGGGCATCGGCAGTCGACGCCAGTCACATTTTCACAGCCCTCCTCGCGAGCCCTGACGAATGCCCGGCAGAAGATATCTTGAAGATGGACCCACAAGAGCTGATCAAAGAGGTGAAGACTGAATTGCAGAAGCTGGACGAGGCTAGTGAGGTGTCGGTGGGCGGAGGGGACGGCCTGCCAAAGAAGACCACCAAGGCTCTGGAGGAGTTTGGCAAGAACCTGACGCAGGCACGCACTTTTGCATCCTCTTTCCCATGGTACTCTAGGGCGTTTAGGGTTAGCCACGCTCAGTCTCAGCCTTTCTGTGTGCAGGCAGCAGCAGAGGGTCTGATGGATCCCCTCGTGGGCCGCGACGAGGAAATCGATCGTGCGATCCAAATCTTGGCGCGGAGATCCAAGAACAATCCCGTGCTGATTGGGGAGCCGGGTGTGGGAAAGACAGCCATCGCAGAGGGCCTCGCCATGCGAATCGTCGCCGGGGACGTGCCTGAAATGCTGGCGGATAAGATCATCATCGAGCTAGACATGGGGGCATTGCTTTCTGGTGCCAAATACCGAGGAGAGTTTGAGGAGCGCCTGAAGAACATCATTCAAGAAACCCGTGACGATCCGAACATCATCTTGATGATCGACGAAATCCACACTCTGGTTGGTGCAGGCGGTGGTGGTGATGGTGGCGCGATGGATGCCGCCAACATTCTGAAACCAGCACTTGCCCGAGGAGACATGCAGATCATTGGTGCCACGACCATCGAGGAGTACCGTAAGTATGTGACAAAGGACAAAGCCCTGGAGCGGCGCTTTCAGCCTGTTGACGTCCCAGAGCCCACTGTCGAGCAAGCTGTTCAAATCCTTCGTGGCCTTGCCCGAAAATACGAGGCACACCATCGACTTCGCTACTCTGAGGAGGCCATTGAGGCTTGCGTCAAGTACGCGTCTCAGTATGTCCAAGACAGGTTCCTCCCAGACAAAGCAATCGACATCCTGGATGAGACGGGTGCGCGTGTGCAGCTTCGGCAGCTCGCCACGGTGCCTGAGGAAGCCATGGAGATCCGCTCAAAGTTGAGAGACGTGGAGGCAGCTAAAGAGGCGGCAGTGCGGGCACAGGACTTCAAAAAGGCCAGTGAGTTAAAGATGGAGGAAGAGAAGCTGCAGTGCCAAATCTACCAGGTGACCAAAAACTCACAGGCAGACTCCCCGCAACCAGAAACGGTGAGCGAAGCTGTTAAGGAATCTGACCAAGAGTCTGCGAAGGAGGCTGAGAAGGAGGTTGAGCTTCCACCCTTGAGCGAGGAGGACATTGAAGAAGCACTGTCAAAGCCTACGGTTACCGAGAATGACGTGGCAGCTGTGGTATCTGCCTGGACAAAGGTGCCGGTGGAGAAAGTAACTGCCGATGAGTCCGTGCGGCTTGTCCACCTGGAGGATACGCTGCATAAGCGCGTGATTGGCCAAGAGGAGGCCGTCGTAGCCATCGCAAAGGCCGTGCGCCGTGCCCGTGCAGGGCTGCAAAATCCCAAGAGGCCCATCGCATCCTTCATCTTCTGCGGCCCAACCGGCGTCGGGAAGACGGAGCTTTGCAAAGCGTTGGCCGAAGCATATTTCGGCATGGAAGACTCCATGGTGCGTTTGGATATGAGCGAGTTCATGGAGAAGCATACCGTGGCGAAGCTGATCGGGAGTCCTCCTGGGTACGTTGGGTACGACGAAGAGAGCCAGCTGACGGACGCAGTGCGGAGGAAGCCGTACAGCCTCGTTCTCTTTGATGAGGTCGAGAAGGCGCACCCGGACGTCTTTAACCTGATGTTGCAGGTCCTCGAGGACGGCCATTTGACCGATTCCAAGGGCCGTGTGGTGTCCTTCAAGAACACGCTGATTATCCTGACCTCGAATTGTGGAGCCAAGGAGATCGAGAAGACGCTCATCGGCCAGGGTCTGGGCTTCGATGCTGGCGCAGACGATCCCGGTACGTCCCTCTACCAGAGGCTCAAGACCAAGGTTCATGATCAGCTGAAAGGTTTCTTCAGACCGGAGTTTTTGAACCGGTTAGATGAGATCATCGTCTTCAAGTCCCTCAACAAGCAGGAAGTCCGCGAGATTGCCGAGCTGGAGTTCAGAAAGACTTTCAAACGATGCCAGGAACGGGGCATTACCCTCTCCTTGACAGATCGGTTCAAGACCAAGGTCGTTGATGAGGGTTATGATCCCGTGTATGGAGCTCGACCACTGAGGCGAGCGATCATGCGGCTTCTGGACGACAAGCTGGCAGAATCCTTCCTGTACGAGCCCACCGTCGAAGGAGAATGCATCATCTGCGACGTGGATGAGCAGGATGAAGTAGTCGTTCTGCGTCAGACGCTCGACCAAGGCGCACCAGAACTTGAAGGTCCTGAGGCGGCTGTAGAAGTGGACAAAGTCCCAGAGAAGGTTCAAGCATGAAGCGAAGGGCAGAACTTGCCTTTCTACTCCCATCACACGTAAATGTACCTCTTGCTGCCGGTAACGGTGCCAATTGCTTGGCACGAGGCGGCGCCTTTTTTGAGAACCCCAAGCCTTATTGGGGGGTGCAGTTCTGCCTTGGTCAGGGTCACTTAGTGGCTTGTCAAACGCCACGAAGTGGCTGGGCTTGTGCCGACCACACCGGCAGTCGTCTCAACCCGAGCAAAGTCGTGCAGATGCTGCTGTGTGGGTTGTGGCTAGGAGCATGAACGGGAGCAAGCTTGGCCTTGCTATCGTCCGCTTGGCGAGGTCGGACCCCTATGTTGTTGTGAAGGTGGGGGAAGTCACTCGTAGGACCTGCTACGGGGATTGGCTGCACTGAATCTGCGATGGCTTCCAGGGCTAAGCGTCTGCATGAGGACTCCGGCCATCAACAACAGCTTGAACCCTGACTGGCGGGAGACCACATCTTTGCTGATCTAGTGAATCTAGTGGCCAGTGTTCCAGAGCATCTTCGCGTGGCTGCAAGCGGCGCCAGGAGGGAAACCTGTTCACTTTCCAAGTCAAAGAAGGTGTTTCCACGATCGAATTGGAGGCTTGGGAAGCGGGAAGCGAAGCGTCGAGCGAAGCGGCGGTGGGAGTCGCGATCCCTGGCCAGGCCATGAACGCCAATGTTGTCAAAGACGACAGTGTGGGTCCAAGTGCCGGGAGCTGACGGCCGATCAGTGCTTGTCGATTGCCAGGTCTCGGGAAGGCATCAGTCAGTATTGGCCCGGCCCCAAATGTGCACGTGGGGATGTTTGCTCATCTTTGCTCGTCCTCGTCATGGTCAGGCAGCCTTCAGCCCAACGAGTGGTGTCGGCTGGTTGAGAGCTCATGCAGTAGCACCGCCGGTTGCAAACAATTACGTCCAGAAAGGTCGAGCGGCTCGAGCAGGGTGGCAGCGAGATCCCAAATTTGTTTCTTCGAGCCACGAGTGGAGGCGGTACCGAGACATGTTGAGCTGCATTGTGAGGTGGAACTTTGGAGCTCGACGTATTTTTCAAGCCCAACTCGTGAAGCGCTTGTATGTCGCAGATGCTGTCTTACCGCTCTCGGCGTGGGTTCCCACATGTTCGCAAGGCACTACCACCTCAACCTCCAGCTTGAGCAGGCCTGTCATGGATGGACACGGGGCCGAACTCCTCCCACCAGCGACACAGCAGGCCAAAGAAGAAGAGAAGAAGTGCTTGGCAGAAGCTGCAAGACTTTCCAGAGAAGTCCGAACCCAAGAGAAAGTGCATCTGCATATGCCGGCCATGTCCTCTCCGCGTGCGTTGAGCAGTTGCAATGCCAAGGTGCAGATGGCCGAGCATGCTCGCCGCTGGCTTGCGAATGTGGACGAGAACACCAAGATGTTCATCACTTGGCTTGGGTTTAGGGTTGGCCCTGGACCTGGCTGAACTGGCTGAAGCTGTGCAATGCAGAACCGAGGCCACTCAGTCTAGAGGAACGCGATTGGGTGCGGGCTTGTGGTGGCAGGCCTTGTTGTGTGCCAACTTTCGGCAAAGCTTTGGGGCTTGTGAACCAGGAATTTGGTTGCTCCCGCTTGGATCACAGTTACTCAGACGCAGGCCAGGGCCAGTTCGAGATGACGTGTCCTGTTTTTTGAGAAGCTGACTTCCGTTCACTGTCGGAAGATTTCTGTAGAAGACCAACAGCTCGGCTGCGGCAGGTGGAGGCCTTAGTGCGAGCACGTCAACAGGCACATCCAATTTCGCTCTTTCCGGAGGCCAGGCGGCTAGCAGGGCGTGCCATGTCGCATCCATTCCACGGCTCTTCGTGGAAGGTGGAGCTCTCATCGGCTTCTCAGCTTAAGCTGAAAGTCAGGATGATCGGAGGCTTTGGTCCATTGCTCAGCCGCAGACCTCCGTGCGATGCTCGGCGTCCTGACAGACCCTGACGGCCTGACATGCTCAGGCCTGACCAGCTCAGCGAGACGGATTTGCACGTGTCCTGCCAGATCTTCCGACCTCTCATCTTTGTCTTTCGCGCTGTGCTTTGAGCACGAAGAGACGAGGTACTGTACATGCGAGATACCGCAGAAGCGGGAGTCCTCGGTCTCCACAGCGCCAGCCCAAGATTATTCCGCTGCTTCTCCTGCGGGCTCAGTGCCTCGGGCCACTCGGGCCTCAGGACTTGGCAGAAGGCCTCAACCCGGAGCGTGCCCCCGAGATGCGATGCGTACGTTTCAGAGCGCACAAGCTCGCCCAAGACAAGCGCGGTGCCTTCTAGGTGGCGATGCAGCCGAACAGTTCCAGGTGCGGTTGCCGGAAGAGCATTTGTTCGAAGCGATGTTTGTGCTTGAAGCTACGAGGGTACAGCCCTGGCGATGCACTCGTCCTGCAAGTGTTCGGTCTTGACCCTCAAGGTGCCTCTGCAGCACAGTGAATGACACGCTATATAGTTGTGTGCTGCACCTTTGAGCCGAGGGGCAGATGGTCAACGCCCGGCACAGCGCACTCCTCTGCGATTCAGGGTGAGCTTGCTGCAAATGGCTCTGCAAACTGAGGCCGAAAGCAAACGAGCTCCTCGGTCGAGTCCCCGCCTCAGGTTTCCAAGGCATATCTTCCTGTGCGAACCCGATTTTCCCACAGCCCAGCAACTGTTGCTGCCCATCCAGCAAGCTCCCGCCCGTTGCAGAGCGGCCCGAAATACTGCCTTGAGCACTCTCTGTTTTATTGCTCTTTGTACGTATGTCTACCGACTATACTCGTTGCTTGGCTCAAGAAAAAGTGTGTGTGCGATTCGTGCTATCGTGCACTATCTATAGGTTATCAGCCGTAGCCTATTCGAGCCATATCTCTTTCCAGGTCGCTCCTGAAATCCTGCAGGTCATACCGGAATGGAGGACACAGCCGAGCCAGTGCCAACGGGTATCTCAGATATGACATTGGCAACTGATGAAGCAAGTGATCAAGGATTTCCTCCATTAATGCCAACAGGTGACAGTCATTTGCCGAATGACGGACTGGCAATTGTGTCACATGATGCAGCGTACTCTCCGATTGATTCGTTGCTTAGAGAACGTGTCCCTACTACGCCAGGATCTATTGCACCTGTTACTCCGGTAGGAATACCTGGACCATTGGCTCATGCTACGGGCGTGCCCAGCCCATCAACACCAATTTATTCACCTCACCTTCATCAAGCAAACCTCACCCAGAACCTTCAGGTTGTCGATGCCAGGCAGTTGACGATTAATCAGGACACATCTCCGATGGTCGCCTTTGCCGCCGAGGCACGACACAATCAGATTATCGGCGAATTGGGAGCAGAACATCAGGAGCAGCCCCGTGCAATGTACAATAGTGGGCTTCCGGAGGTGACCAAGTTGAGGAACGAATTAGGCAATGCTAACATTGCGTTGTCGATTCAGAGGTCTGAAATGGGTCAAGGTGAAGCTCGTTTCCAGCAAACCGAAAGCGCGAGGGAACTCGCTGTCCTTGAAGCCAACCGGCAAGCGGAAGCTGCCCGTAGAGCTTTAGAGGAAGCCAACAGCAATGCCAGGCGCCTTCGCGAAGTGGAAACTTCTGCCCGTCAGAATGATGCGATGCGATCCCATGAGGTCGCTGACATGTCATCTCGGATGGATGAACTGATGAGGCAGCTTCATGCCCAGCGCCAGCAGACTGAGGTATTGATTCATCAGAATAACGCATTAAGCTCCAGGGTTCGAGATTTCGAAGCTAGAGATGCTGCTTTGAAGATTCAGGAGGGAATTCCACAAGGGCCTCCACCTGGCATTCCCGTACACCCCATTTCCACCCCGAAGCATGGAGGTGACACTCCTACGGAACAGGCGACGGACGCCGGAAGGCGAACCCCTCCGGATGGTTCCAGCCCAGGTGGCGGTGGTGGCGGCGGGCCTGATGGCAACGGCCCCAGTGGAGGCGATGATGATCATTGTCAGTAAAGATGGTCAACGAGAAGCTTGAGACGTTCATGCATAACTGGGAAACTGTATTGTCAGGGATCCAGACTACCCCCGATGAGAACTTCCTTGAGCCCTTGTTCAGCTCCTTGTTCCATAGGCAGATTAAGCGCTTCAAAGACCTCGCGCATGATATCAACATCTATGAAAGGGCTACACCAGGGCAGCCAGAGAAGACCTACAAGTTTTTGTATGATGCGGCTACGAATTACTTGAGTCGCAAGCGTCTTGAACGCAACCGGGAACGGATTGCCAAGCAATATGGTGCTGATGGGAAACCATCCGCCCCCGCTCCCAAGAAGAAGTTCGTCCCTAAGGGATTTTGTTTTGAGTTCGTACAGAACGGTAAGTGTAGCAAAGGAGACAAGTGCAAGTACAAGCATGAGATCCCTGAGAAGAGAGGCCGGTCGCATTCAAGAGGTGGAGGCCGCACTCGTTCACCATCCGGCAACAACAATGACGGAAAGCCCAGAGAATGCAAGTTCTGGAAGAGTGGGCGATGCAAGAAAGGAAGTGCATGCACGTTCCTCCATACAGGCAAGCCAAGCGCTGCTGCGACGTCACAAGGCGGCTCTCAGGGGGGAAGGCCAGGAAGCGCAGGCAGCAAGGGGAAAGACAAGAAAGGCCATCGTAAGTCGCGGTCCAACTCGAAGGGCTCTCAAGGGTCGAAGAACTCTAAGGGCAGCAAGGGTTCGGACAAGCGAAAAGGTCCTAAGTCACCAAAGGTTCCCGCTGCAGTCTGCATCCTAGGGGCATTGATCGCCGCGGCATCGGGTACCCAAGCCGACGCTGCTTATGCATTCCGGAAGGATATGCCCGATAGTCGTGGTGACATGTCATCTACCTTTTCATGTGCGTTGCCAGCTATTCGTTTCGACGATAATCCGATGCTCATCAACATCCCGCCTGACGGAAAGATGTTGCCGACAGAACCCGAGACACGGAGGTATTTGAAGTCCTTCGGTGGGGAACCTCCTAGACCCAGTCAACAGGATGTCAAAGACGCACTGACGACTGCCAGGATGCTTAAAGCAACTCTGGATGCATATGGTTCCGGGATAAGGGCTAAGTGCGGTTATGAATGTGACACGGAATTCGGTTGCGACAAGTGCATTCCGAAACACATTGAAGCTACCTGTGTTGCAGCTACCAAAGCGGAAGCCCAGCAGCTCGACATCGAGTGGATCGCGGATACCGGCAGCGCCCAGGACCTGGTATCACAGGGGGATCTCGGATCTTTGAGAAGCCATCGTTCCCAAAACCCTATCGGTATTGTGACGGCTAACGGGCCTAGCACTGCTGAGATTCAGTCCAACATCGCAGTTCCTTCATTGGGAATTGACAGCCATCCATATGTGTTGCCTAGCACACCTTCTGTTCTATCCGTTGGTTACAGGTGCATGGAGGAGGGGTTCGATTTCGTTTGGAGATCGGGTACAAGACCTTACTTTCAGTCATCTAGCGGTGAGCGGATATATATGGATGTGAAGGATTACGTCCCCTACCTCAAATCGTGGAAGGAAGGTGTGGCGGTGCCTGCGAGGCGGAAGCCCCAGCCCAGTGAGGATCACAAAAATGATCTGGTTCTTTCGCTTGAAGAGGCTGAGGGATATGCAAGGGAACTTCGGATTAACGGCGACTTTCGTCTGGGATCATGTTACAAACTTTTGAAATTGACACCATGCAAGTCGACAGGGAATTCGAGGAGAATGAAAGCTACTGAGAACGACGACTCGGTTGAAGATGAAGTTGGCAGGGACTACATAATCATTGGCGCTTGGATCTTCAGCGGGATGACCGGGATCACAAATTCTGTAGATCGTCATGCTCAGCTGACCAAGTACCTGATCGCCTTCATGAAGTCAAGAGGGTTGAAAGATACCTTTACGTCTATCTGCATCAACCATGGTGGCAATCGCCGTGTGCATCGAGACTTGTTGAATCATGATAACTCGCTCAATCACACTCTAGGCGTTGGAAGCTATCAGGGTGGTTCCGTATGGGTTGAGCGGAAGGATGACTCTCCCGTATTTCGCAGAGAAGGTGTAGCTGGTGGGAAATCAAAGTGCGTCAAGGTTACGGGGGGACTTGAAGTCGATGGAAGAGTATATGGCACTCATGATCGAATGTTATCCTTCCACCCCAAGCTTTGGCATCAGGCACAGCCTTGGACAGGTGATCGATGGACCATCACTGCATACACGATTCGGGATATAGATGGTTTGAGCTGGGAACAGCCAAAGTCGCTAATGTCGCTTGGGTTTCAGTTGAATTCATCAAGACGGTTACCATTTGTTCCATCATTGATTACCGGCGACAGCGATGAAGAGCTCACACTATACGACTTCGCGAAGAAGTAGAAGGCCGAAGCCGAGAAAGATAAGGTTCCTGAACCAGCTCCTCCCTTAATGAAGAGCAAGGCTAAGTCTAAGCCCAGCAAGCCTGATGCCGGGCGGAAGCCTGAGCCCGAGCCTGAGAAGGGTGCAGACATGTCTGATCTTTTTGATATTGAGGAGCATTTCGATGAAGCCGGGGAGTTGAAAAGTGCTAAGGATCAGCCACCTCCTCCTCCTGTTCCTGCTGAGGCAGACAAGCGTTCTAGAGGAGAGAAGGTTTTACGCGAAGAAGCTAAGAGCAAACATCATCTGAGTCGTCCCAAAGAACCCCTTTTGCCCCACGTGCCAGAGAGCGAAGATGTTCAAGCCGCCTTCGTATCAAACGAACGGTTCCAGGTTCATTGAGTCTGAGAAATTCGGCGACCATCTCACTGGGGATCATCTCATCGTCTATCGCGACAACGAAGAAGAGATTAGGGATTCGCGACTAGCTTTGGTCATGAAGGACGTGGCAACAGGTTTCCTCGCGGCCTACCCCTCCGGACGGAAGTCTCAGGACGAGTGCTACAAGGCGCTCAACCATTTTGTTGCTAACAATGAGGATGTTGGCATCTTCTACAGTGACAATGCTCCTGAAATCAACGGGGCAGTAGAAGAAATGGGCTGGAAGCATGAACACTCTAAAGCCTATATCCATCAGTCCAATGCCATGGCTGAGCGTGCGATCAGGACTGTTACGGAAGGCACCAGAGCGAATCTGGAGCAAGCTGGTTTGGCTCATGCTTATTGGCCTCATGCCTTACAACATGCTTGTGTTGCCCACAACATAAGCCATCCCAATGGTACGAAGTACTCTTCATGGACTTTGCGGTTCGGCAAGGACTTTCATGGGCCATTGATTCCATTTGGTTGCCGAGTAGACTACGGGGTCGGTACTCGGGAACAGCGGAAGCTGCAAGGGTACGAAAGATTTGAGAGTTCATCAGAACATGGGATCTTCATGGGTTATCGCTTCCAACCAGGAATGCGTTGGCGTGAAGAGATGTTGGTAATCCCGATATCTAAGCTGAATGGAAGTGACTTCTACGAGTACCACAAGCCTATTAAGGTGCATCAATTGAAAGTGCCTGACGGTGAGTTCACTTTCCCCATGGTCGACCGTTATAACCGTGTCCGAGACGGGCTAGCGCATGACGCCATTGAAAAGCCTGTCGTTGAATCTCTGAGAAATCAGGATGCGGAACCAGTCGTAGATCCTCCTGGGGACGGTGAGGCCGAAGTAGAAGTACCTAAAGTTATTGATCCCAAATCAGGTGACCTCGTTGAGTTGCCCGAAGGCGGACGCTTCTATGACTCCGGTGGAACTCTTGGTAGGAGATATGGAGGGTCCAGAGGTTCAAAGAAGCCGGATAGCATTCCTTCTCACATATGGGTTAATTTGTCCAAGAGGCAGAAAGATAAGGCGATAGCGGAAGAAGCATCGAAGATCGCTAGGGAATATCATGAAGGTGCCGATCGAGCAGGTGGCGGATCATCAAGTTCAAGGCCTGCTGCGACGCTTGGTGCGTCCCGAGATCGATGGGAGATCAAGGGAAACAAGTTAGTGCGGTATCATTGTGTTCCTAGACGAGAACTTTTCTCTCCTGATATCACCGATTGTCCCATTCCCACTTCTAGGCTAAAGCCGACAAGGATCTTGCAGATCATCCCCGTGGGAACGGAGGACACTGTTGCTGATGAAGATGATTGGACAAACCCGCGCAGAAGGAACAAGAAATTGCCTTTTAGATGGACCGGCAAAACCATCTTTGAGATCCTACCCTTGGGTACTAGCAGTGCTCATATCGTGGGGGAACCCTATCCGACTATGCCAACTGTCCCTCGTAGTGGGGAACATCGCGAAAAGGTTGGTAATGATCACCAGTTCACCCAATCTGAGCTGGAAGTTATGATGGCCTTAGTGGCTCACCCGGTTGGCAAGAAGGAGCTCGCGGAGAACAGTGATGCCCAGAAATCACTTGATGTGGAATGGGATAAGTTGATGCAAAAGCGAGCATGGGACATGGACAACCCACGGGAATGGTCAGAGATCTCGGCGGAAGCCGTTAGACGGGGTCGCAAGGCCCATGTTGGACGTGTTTTCGAGATCTGCGTAGAGAAAGGGAGCGAACTCCCCAAAGGAAATCCCCTGAGGAAATTCAAAGGCCGAACGGTCTTCCAGGGTAACAATGTCCAGGACGAAAGCAGCAGCGCCGCCCTGTTCTCGGAGTTAGGTTCGAGCCCTGCTTCGATGGAGGCGGGCAAGGTGCTGGATGCGTACGGATCTCAGCCAGGTTTCGCCTGTGAACAGGCCGACGGTAAGCAAGCTTACACTCAGACGACTTTGAAAGGCGCTGAAACTTGGGTTCGATTGCCAAGGGAGCGGTGGCCTAAGTCCTGGGTTGGCAAGTTTAAGGATCCAGTAGTTCGGCTCTTCCTTGCGCTGTACGGACACCCTGATTCGGGGGGCTTCTGGGAGAAGCATTGTGAGCAGAGACTCAAGCAAGTGCGTTTTGATCTTCTGTTTCCTTCTTCATGGCCTTCGGTTTTCTTTCATCCTAAGCTTCGCCTACTTTTAGCTGTCTACGTCGATGATTTCAAGATGGCTGGACCTGCTGAGAACATGCAGGAAGGGTGGAAGCTGATCGGGTCCAAGATCGATATGGACACCCCGACTCCACTTGGGAGATACCTTGGGTGTGAACATGTAGAGAAGAAGAAAGTTCAACTGGGAACAGCTGACCATCCATTTGCCCACATCTTTGATAAGAGCATTCCTGACCCCGCGGCCAAACCTTCGGTTCCGGCTACATCCCAGGATTATACGGAGTACTTTCCTGATGAAGGTGTTATTGTTCGCCATCATATGCAGCCTCGCAAAGCTAAGTATGCTGTTAGCGCTGCGGAAGCAGACGTCCTGAACATCGGCGACCTGCGGTTGACCGAGCGTCAGCTTCTTGGAAGTACTTCTGCAGAAGAACAATGGGATGATGGTTTCCGGGGGGGTAAGGCTTCGGGACTTTGGACGGGAACCACTTATTTGTTTGATCGTGGTATTGACAAGCACCATGCCGTGGCTGCTGTTAAGCGCATTCGTGACAAGAACACTGCTAAGAAGGAAGCTAGGAAACAGGCTTTCTATGACATCAGCCAGTTGTCTAGTGGCACCGGATGCATGAAACAACCCGTCAACATCATCGAGTATGACATGAAGTCTTTTCTTGAACAAGCTGTACAAAAGTACAAAGATCTTGCTGGCCCCAAGTACCACACTCTTAAGTCAGCCTCTACTCCATTCGCCGACGAGAAGATCGCGAGGCCCATCGATGATGAGGCCGAGGCAAAGGGTGAATTGGCTCCTATCGCTAGCCGAGTTCTGATGAAGCTTTTGTTTGCTGCCAGGATGGCTCGTTATGATTTACTGCGGGCTGTTCAGGGATTGGCTGGCAGGGTTACCAAGTGGTCTGCTGAATGTGATGGGGCTTTACATCGATTGATGTGTTATGTGAATTCCACCCTGGACTTGAAGTTGAGGGGATTCATCGGTGACCCGATTGACCAATGCAAAATATGGTTGTTTGCTGATGCAGATCACGCTGGTGAGCATGATAACAGGAGTACATCAGGATGTTTCGAGGCTTTGGTCGGACCAAACACGTACTTTCCTTTGGCGGCTTACAGCAAGAAGCAAATCTCAATTTCTATTAGTTCTACCGAGGCCGAGGTTGTGTGCGCCAATATAGCTTTGAGGACTGTTGGATTGCCATCCTCCGCTTTGTGGAGTGTGCTCCTGAAGGCAGGGGGGGGGTTCAGACGCATCAAAGCCGTGCGCACCCCGGAAGGGAGATGCCTGTTTGGCCAAATTCCCAGATAAGGATGTTGCTTCTCAGGTACCAAAGACTGGTAGACACGAACTTATTGATTGTCGAGTAGCTGTTCTTTCAGGCGGTGATAGTATCCCTGAACCCGTTGAGCTTGCATCCCATCCTCTTCGAGATGTGTGGTTGCTCCGGGGGGACAAATGGTCCAGAACAGAAGAAGCTGTTGCTTGGGAAGAGCTCGAGAATGCCTCCTATATGGTTCCGAAGGATGCCAAAGCCATCTTGTGCTTGTACCGGAAGTCATCATTGGAGTATCGTCGCTCTGCGGAAGCAGAAGCCGAGTTGAAGTATGAGGCTTACAAGCTCCGTCACGGACTTGGCGACTTCGAGTACACCGATGATGCGAAGATCAGATCCGATCATTCATTGATCATGGCCGCACCACATTGCATGCAACCTGTGATGTTGGAAGATAACCAGGCCACTATTAGGATTATGGAATCAGGAAGATCACCGGCATTTAGGCACACAGACAAAACCCAAAGAATCAATCTCGGATGGGTATCGGAACAGTTCAGAAGGAAGCATTATGATCTCGCGTACATTAGTACCTTGTTGCAGTCTGCCGACATTTTGACTAAGCCATTTACCAACATTGACAAATGGAAGAGAGCGATTTTCCTCATTGGCCATGTCTATGTCAAACCATCAAGGCCTGCTTCGCCGATCGTCGTGCCGGACAACCTCGAGAAGAGGATCGAGCCCGAGAGCAACGGGGTTCTCATCGAATGGGGACATGATCCGTCGTTCTCTCTGCTCGGAATGGCAGACGATAATGGTAGCGGTAGCTCACCTGTCGTTCGAGTGACTCACAGCATGGACCTTAACAGTACTCAGACGAGTAGGGACTTGCTCAAGGTTGTCAAAGGCTATGCCAAATCGAATGTTCCCATTACCGTTTGGGTTGACCTGCGCTTTGCGGGGGGTCCTGATGACCGCAAACTCTTCGGCAAGCTATGGTCTTCTTTCGTCAACTTAAGCACCGGTTTGGACCTGAATAACTGTCGTTATGTCGTGATTGCTCCCTGGGATCATTTCTCATGGAAGATGGATCGAGTTATTAAGTGGTGTTCCAATCACGAATGTACGAGTTTCGAAATTCTTGATGACGAAAGATCAGGCAATTTAGGTCATTGGAGATTGCATACTTCCTACAAGAATTTGCCAATTGAAGTGATGAACAATTTTCATGGCTGTAAGCTCAAGAACATTTTCGAGCCACGATTTCCTGCACGACAAGCTGCTGTTGCCGGACAAGTTACTCTGAGCGAAGATCCTATAGGAAGCGCAGCAGTGATGGCATCCTCTATGCCCACCGTTTCTCTGGAGGAGCGTCGCCGACGCATCGAGGCTTTCCGCTGGCTCTTAAGGACCCTGATTGCCTCGCGGAAGCGATGGCCTTTGAGGAACCGGCATATTTTAAGGATGCCTATGGCGTCGTGAAGGAGGCGTACCAGTACAAGCTGGTGGAGCCTGTGGAGTCCGATCCGCCAGAGGCCATTTTCCTCGGCCGTATCCGAAACGGCGAGTGGATTGGTCTGCGGAAGCAGTACCCCTATGCAGGTTTTCCCCTTCTGCACGAGATGTGGCGCCGCCATTTCAACAGCCCGGCTCATCAGGGAATGCCAGTTGAGGGCTTCGAGCTCCATGGCGATTCCCTCCTGACGGAGTGGACAGAACTTGTCAAATCCTACCTCCGCGACCTGGCTTATGTGGGGCATGCCACAAACGCCGAAAGGGCTCTCAAGGCCACTGAGCCGTTTGATGTCTGTCACAGAGCGTATGTGCTATCCCAGGAAACCCTGGGTTACCACGAATTAATGCCAGCTGCCACGGCGTTGCTAGACTCGGTGTATACTCCAGCCCTTCGCAGAATCGAGCACCAAGAGCAACCAAGTTCTTATTTCATTATCGGAGGAGATAGCTCTCTCGCCTTGGTGACCCGAGACGGTGGACGCGTCCAGATGAAAGGGACGATGGAACCGTCACTCAGGGAGGAGATGACCAAGGACATCCGCATGGATGGCTGCTCGGTGATCATGCGCTGGGGAAAAGGGCTTGGAGACATCGTGTGGTACGTGGAACAGGAGCTCAACCGAGTCCAGAAGTGGAGGAACGGCCAGGAACCGCTCGCACCAGAAGGTGTCGACATTATCATTCAATGGGGTGGTAATGACGTCTATGGCGAGTATGGTTACAAAGGCTTTTCCTTCCACATGCGCAATGCGTGGGTTCGTGTTGATGATGCATTGCATGACACCCTTTCCAATTAGGAGACCAAGGCACGCAAGGCCGTCGAAGACGCGAAAGATGCCCTGGTTCGTCTCTCATCCCGGAAGGGAGTGTCCTCTGTCACGCTGGTGGCTGGCCCCCACAACGGGGACTTCTACGGTCTCCCGGAGGTCTATGACCTGGAGATGGCCCGTCATTCCGACGAAGTCAAAGAGCGAGGGATCCGCATCGTCGATCCCCAGGCCCTCATCCTCGCAACAGAGCGATACGATGGGTTTCACATGGAGGCTACCCACGACAACGTGAAAGTTACCACCAATTGGTTCTTTCACCTTTGCTCTGCGATTATGTTCGAGCGGTGGCTTGTGAAGCACGCAATGGAGCTTAAGGCCAATTCGCGTGGCATCCTCTTCCACAACCACTTTCACCTCGGACTCGGCTTGGAAGAGCTCGACATCCCTCCTACTACGGACTTGCTTATCCCTGCGGAAGCTGAGATGGTGACTTTCCCACCTGAGGCACCGCCCGTGCAACGCTTCCCAGAGGAGGAGATTGTCTTGAACCAGCCGATCCTCAGCTTGGAAAAGCTTGACGAGCTTGAGGGTGTACCGCCCACTGACTACGTCAATGAAGTGGCGAAAGAATCAGAGGAGATCACGGTTGAGGACGTTGTGTCTCGTAACCCGAATCCGGAGGACGAGCACCTCACCGTGGAAGCGGTCGACCCCGCTCGGAGATGGAACAGATCGTTCGGAACATGATTGAGTCGGTGAACCTGGTGATGTCAGATAAGGAGGCTGAAGAGGTCGCCCAAGAAACGGGTGTTGCTCCCTATGAGTACGTCGAGCCGAATGTCACAGCTACATTCGTTGTGGATGGTGAAGCAGTCTCTACGATTGCTACTTCCGACATCCCGACGGAAGTCTGGGACTCCGGTCCGATGGCTGTGGACTACGGCGCAGACGATGATGAGGAGCATCCCCGCGGAAGTGGTGGACCCATCTGGCTTACTCCGGATCAGCTGCCTGATGTCAAGGGTCGCATGGGATACTTTCGCCTCACTGAGATGGAGTGTGTTTCGTTGGGCAAGAAGCTGTCGTGGCACTTGCGTGGGCATGCCAAGGACAAGGGATTCCGCACTGTTGAGTTCGACGAAGAACAGTCCGCAGAGATTGGAGATGTCTTGAAGGTCATTGGGAAACAGTGGTCCCGCCTGACGGTGATGACCATCATTGATCTGTTGACGTCAGATCACTGTGACAAGGCACGGTTCGAACTCCAGGCGGAAGCCTTGGACGAGGATACACGGTTGGGCCGAAGAACAAACTGGCACTTTACCCGTGTCCGAGCATTCCAAGGACACAATGCTTGCCTGCTCGTCCTCGGCAGCGACCCGCTGAAGACCACTGTCAAGCAGTGGGCCCTCGATGACAAATGACAAATGGATCCCGTCCTATGTCGATCTACCGATCACGGGTCCATACCCTTATCGGGCAACGGCCTTCGATCTTATGCCAAAGCTGGCGTATCACGCCACATACTGGCGAAATTTCGCGAAGATCGTCAACACAGGCCTCATCCCGGGAGGGAAAATGACTTCGAAGGGCAACAGCGGGAGGCCCTTCAGCATGTTCGCGATGGAGCCTCAGTGGGAACGCACCTCCAATCAGGGCGTCCGCCCTGGCGCACAGCTGGAATTTGTGATAGACTTACAGCTCGCCGCTTGCGATGGCTGTCGGTTTTTCGAGACAAAAGCTGGAGCGCTGCAGACGCCGGATTGGATCAGCAACCGGGCCATTCTGTATGCATATGACCGGTCGACTCAGGAGATGATCTGGGCGAACCGAGCATACGAACCAGCGCGGAAGCGCTTGGCCCAGGCGTGCAAAGACAAGAGCCTCAACACGCCTATTTATGGCGAGCGGGGTCACCAGGAGCTGGTCGATGCAAACGGCTATTGCTAGAACTACCTCGTGGCAGGCCTGGGGTATCGCAACTTCGACACCTGGAAGGACGCCGCTAAGGCATGCAAGGATGTCTACGACCTTGATTTCTACCTAACAAGCATGTGTGGTCTAAACATTCGCATCCCGGAAGGGCATGCCTTGCAGGGCTCAGAGTCATTGTACAAAATGGTGGTTCACGTGGCTCCAAAGCAACCCCATCAAAGATGCAACGATGAGTCGGATTGGCGCCGCCAGGAGAACGTCAGCATTCCTTCTTTCGGTTGCCCAAACTGCGGTACCTCCAACGTTGATGGTACAATCTGTTGTTATCGATGTGAGTCTCGATTGGAACCGCACTCAGATGTGAGCATGGCCTTGGAGAACACCCGTGCCAAGCAAGTCGCCGCCCGGAAGGGTGAGCCCCTGGATTACAGGGCATTGCAACCAAGCGGGGAGGTCAACTCCAATCGTGCCACAGGCAACAAGAGAGAACGGAGTGCTGGCTCTGGCCCAGCCGCTGTTCGCCAACAGGCCGCCAAGTACCTTGGAAAGGCCCTGAAGGCGGGATCTCGCACTGTTGTTGAGCGTCAGTCTCGTGATCCGTTCACGGCCTACAACAACGCAAGATTTGGCATATCCATTACGGGGCTTGAGCAACTCATGATTTTCGCCCGAATGAGGATCGCCAACCCGCCGAGGTCACGTCAGATGATCCACGACCGCACTGGCTTTGACGGCGCAGCCAAGGTGAGCTTCTCATTCCCACCGGAAGGTGAGGACCTGACCTTACGGACCACTGCTTTGTGGCGTTCGTGGACAGGTTCTATAAGCTTGATGAAGCCGCCTTATTGGCGTTTGCCGTCCATCGCAACGGCTACGTCATGGACATTCTTGGCTTTAGCGGCCGCACATTGAAGCCGACCGGTCCCGTGGTACAGATCTTGGCTAGGATTGTGGGATTCTTCCAAGACGAGGTACGATACGCGGTTGAACGTGGCGAACGAGTGCCTGAGTTGGTCTTGCCTGCCAATCAGGAACTCCGCGTCCCGGAAGGGCTCGCCTCTCTTGGGGACAGACAGCTGAACGAACTTCTCATCAACACGAAGTTCGCGCGACAGCTCCCCGGCGCCAAAGGCGTCAATGAGAGGATCGAGCAGGGAGGACGGAGACGAGAGGCAGATCAGCTCAGCCACCGATTCCAAAGGCGAGGCCAACGACCAGAGCTACCGGCAGTGCACAGCGAGCTGGCTCAGTTCCTCCAAAGCCACGAGCACGCCCTCGTGACCCTTTCCCGGGAGTGGCAGCTACCCGCATGCGGCCAACAGAGCCCAGCTACCCGCCACCGGGAAGGGATGTGCCCGGATCGTCAACGGATGCTCCCATGCGTCCGCCCGAGCCAAAGGGGCCTCCGCCAACGACCTTAGTTGTCGATTCAAGGGGGAACCCTATTGACCCATCGCAGCCTCGCCGACCCTACTTCACACGGCATGACGCGCTGCTTTGGGCTCGCCTCAAGGCATCTCGGGACAAGAACGTTCCCAGAGGCATGGAGGATCGTGCGGTACCAGCTTTTCACGATTTGAACGACTTCCACCTCCTGGCACCGGAGCACGTGGGCTACTTCCTCTCTGGCTGGAAAGAGACCCAAAACGGGATCCGCCTGTACTGACTGCCGCGTCTTGTGCAGTACAGTAGCAGCTAATTTGCATTTTCGGTTCGTTGTGTTGTTTTCTCCACCCTGACGGGTCGGACATGTAAGAGTAGTTTATCTGCTCCATGTCCATTGTTCTGCCTCCCTGACGGGACGGCCTAAGTAAAGGGCCGGAACTGATGGGACATGGCACGTCAGGAGTGTTGAGATCTTTCTAAGAGCTTTGTTGCACCTAAGGTGTAAAATCAGCCTGCTTTTGCATTCGCAACGTGTTGGTAGCATACTGTACTTCTACTTTCGCCTCTCTTCGCTGCCCTAAGAGGCGCGGTTTTTTTTTTATTGCTCTTTGTACGTATGTCTACCGACTATACTCGTTGCTTGGCTCAAGAAAAAGTGTGTGTGCGATTCGTGCTATCGTGCACTATCTATACTCTCTCCGGACTGCTGTACCTAAAAGCCGTGGAGATTCCGACTAACACTTCTGATACCGATGCATGGTTCTGGGAAGTTAGGAGGGGGCAAAAGCCGCGAATCTTCGAAGATGCTTGGCATCCTCAGGCATTTCTTCGTGGCGACAAGATATACCCAGAGGGTTGGATGCTCTTCTTCACGCTGTGGGTGATTTCTGCTTGACGGCATGGTGTTTGAGCGCGGTCAACGTGAAAGGCTACGATGGGCTTCTAAACTTGTCTTTGGGGCCTCGCCGGAGCCGAAGTTGTTGCACTCTGCATGGATGTGACGAGGAGAGCTTTTTGGGGTCTGAGGCCAAACGGGTGCCACTCTTCGAGCGGAAGCCTCGGCTTCCCTGCAGGCCAAGAGCGACTCTATGGAAGCAGAAGTCCTGAATTGTTCGCATAAAGAGACGCGAAGCAGCACACATGGAGTCGGAATCATTCGAAAGCTGATGTCAATACGTGGTGCTCAACACGACACTAAAGGGTCCAACCGCTCCCAGCCTCTGGAACAGGCCAAGGCATATAGACCGACTAGTGGCTGGGACTTGGTGGACGAGCAGGTGTTGAGGACCATCCAATAGCAGTAGCATCGGGTGGGGAAGAAGCATTTAGTGGCACCAGGATCATGTGCCACACCCTGCAAGAGTGAGCCATGTCCCTTCCATGCATATCCCTCACAAACAAAGCAATTTACTGCAACCTTCTTCTGCAGTACCTGGTCATCAGGTAACGGCCTTGCTCATGGAGGAGTAGAGTCGTATGTCGAATCAGCAGATAAGGCTGGCTTAGCTTGAGGTTCCACTGGGCAGAAGACCTGTCGCGTTGGAGCCGTGTTTGTGACAGCGCTTTAATGGTGGAGCCATGTGCTATTCCGGCCAAAGACTTGCCGATGGCACACATAGGTGAAACGCCGCTGGCCCACGTGCTAACTGTCAATTTACCAGAGCACAAATCACGCTGTGCAGGAGTGCGCTTGCAAGGCATTTGGTTGCTCTCGCTTGTGGAAAGGCCATTTCAGTGTGCACTGCAGCATTTCGGGGCAAGACGCATGGCGGCTTCTGAAACCCGCGCGGCGCGGGCCACCAGGCTGGGAACTTCCATCCTGCTTCGATTCAATTAGCCTTGATCTGTGAACCGGTAGTTGGTGCGGTAAGTTGCCGTGCCCCATCTGCTGTGTACTTTCGTTGGCTGCAGGCGTGCATTTCTCTTACCTTTTACCTTGGGCATGGTATAAAGGGACCAGGCATAGAAGACAAGGCAATCTGTACTCTGCTCTACCTGTCATCCGAGCTCGGCGGAAATCGTAAAGTCAGGAGCCATGCCAGACTGTGCAGACTGCAGTGGCATCGCAAGACTTGCGGCCTGTTTGCACAAAGCGTCGATACGCGTCCACAAGTGGGAGGGTGGACCATTGTTGTGAGGTATACTATCTGGTACTTGTGTTGCAGGGGCAGGGTCCTCAGCTGCATCAACACCTACTCGAACCAAATTGCTGTTGTTGCTATACCGAAGCCCTGCTGCGGCAGGGTGGTTATTGGGTGGACGACGCGAGAAGCGTTGATAATGCAAGCTGAGTGGCTGCGGCAAGCAGACGCTGGCATCTTCCACAACATTGAGTCGCATGCCGCGCAGCTCTCAGCCGATGTTCTGTGCAGAGTTAGGCCGCGGTTTTGCGTTGATTTCTTTTGGTGAAGGGTTTTGCTTCCAAAGAGCGAAGGTCATGACGACTCCCTTTCTCGGAGTCGTTCGTTCTGTGGTATTCCGAAACTGCTCTAGTGTGGATGAATTGTCAAAGAAATGGGAGGAGACGCTGGGAAAGGATCCGTCGTCAGAGCTGGAGTACCTGTGCATGCATCCGCTCAAGGGCGGAAACGTGACCTATTGGCCTCCCCATTCCATTTCAAGCGCAATGAAAGCGCCGGGGCCTCAAAGCAGAGAGTGAACTGTCATCAGGCTGATGTAGAACGCGAGAGGTCGACGAGCCAGAAGTCCATCCCGACTGGCCATCCGACTGATCCGCAAGCGGTCGAGCAGATCTCGGAAGTGATTCCAGCTTTCGATGCTTCGCTCAACAGCCAGCGCTCCATTGACACTACAACGTGCATTCGGTTTGTCCAGGTTTTTAGGACACCGCCGCGATGTAGTTTACAACGCGACTGCCGGACGTGAGACTGCAAACCCTCATAAAGTCATAAAGATGCCAGGAAGGTGTATGGAGTGGAATGGAGAAGTTGCAGTCCTTCTTCAAGAAGATGTCGAGGAGTTTCCTGAATGAGAGCCAAGCAGAGACGGAAGTGCTTGTTTGTGCGTTCCAAATCTACGTCCCCGCAGGCAGGTACAGGGCGCGTATCGCGACATTGACTATGTCGAGGTTGAGTCACCTTGTCTTCATTCCAACCTCATCTTCGGCAAGCCGAAGTATCTGGCCGTGCCCCAAGTTTGGCAGATGGCAAGCACTACTAGGGGTCCTCTCTCACGTAGAAGCGCAGCCTTGGCTTTGTCGGCTTGACTTCTGCTGACATATATATATATATATATATATGTATGTCCACTCGTCTCTGTTTCTGCCTGCGGACGCAGCCTCCGGATTCGTGTGTGCCCTGCGTGCGCCTCTGTTGCGGTGCGCGTCTTTCCCAGCAGGGTGTCAATCCCATCTTGTGTGGGCGAATGAGTCTAGGGGCCAGGGCTTGGCGGTCCGTCCACAGTGTCTGCAGGACAAGTACTTGGGCATGGTGATCTTCGAGGGCAAAATCAACGAGGTCTCATCTTTAGCTGGCTTTTCCTCCTCGATTTAGTGTACATCTACAAAACCGTGTACAGTTGCAAGCCCAGAAAAAGGTTCATAAGTTACCGCCTGTCTCGCGAATGCCGCTTTGGAAAGGTGCAAGAGGCGGGCTGCGCCAGAGCATCTCGCAGCCCTTCATTGAAGCGATCTGCTTCACTAACCGAGTCCTTGTCTTCCCTTTGCGAGCAAGACAAAGACACCATTGCGCACCAGCGGAAGACACAGTTTGATAGAATCAATGGTCTGCTGCTCGCTGTCCTGGTGGTGAAGTACATCATCAGCAGCATTCATGAATTTGCCAGTCACTGCTTCGGTCGGTGACTCAGGGCCCGGCCCGAGAATTCGAAGCGATGTCCAATCCGCTATGCCGGTACGTGTTCTGTTCTGCTAGGACGTCCGTCAACGCGATCTCGCTGCGACAAGACCCTGGAGGGCCTGGGCATCAAAATGATGCTGGGCCATATATGGGTTCTTGAGGATGATTCACGCTGGCCTAGCAGTGACTGGCAGCTAGCAGGGAGCAAGGGTCCACGAGCATGTCGTTCCACCATCTTGCGATTTGCCAATGCGGACTCTGAATTTGCTCAGGATGTCGATCTTGCTCTGCCTGGCGCTGCAGGCACGATGGCCTTTTCGATAGGCAGAGTGCCATGCGATGAGTGTTTATTTGCTATCCAAGCTTTCCATAGGCGTACGGTAGCGGGTACAGGCGTCCAACGTGAGTTGTCCGCAAGCGGCATGTTGTGGGACACGAAACACCCCGACAAGGCAGTGCGTGGGACCATGTTCCTCATCGTGTGGCGGAAAAGTCATATTCTCCTGTCGCCGAGCCCTGAGCCGGCGCTGAGCCTTTCTCACCCCTGCGGAACATCTCCCGAGGCACGTTCCCGAAGTCGGATTCGAGACTTGGCGCGAATTGGACTTGGCGACTGTGCTACAGTGCGGCAAACTCATGTGGTGTTAGGCATGCGTCGTGGTTGTGCACATCGTGGTTTGCATCCTGAACGAACTGGACAAGTTTTGGAAGTGGTCCAACATGGTGTGCTACAGCTGTCCCAAAATCATGACCTGCGTCTTCTGGCTGGGATGGTTGTTCATGATGATCATGTGTTCCATTCCAATGCTGACTGTTTCATACTTCAGCTTCGACTTTGCCATACAGGCTCGCATGACTGTCGTGTGCAGCGTCTGCAGAAGCAGTGTGCTGCTGAAGAGCTTGTGCTGCAGGGGCTGGAATCCTGTCACCTTTTTGGATCAGATGGCGCTGTGATATCGCAAGAGTTCGAAGCAGCGGCCAGGAGTAGCAGTGCATTGGCTGCATCATCGGGCAAGGGCTCGCCATGGTTTCGAAAGCGTGTGCCGAAATTGAAGCCGCCTTAGACCACAAGGCTCATTTACGGCTGTCTTCATTGTCCTCTCGGTGTTGGAGGCAGGCCTGTGGCTTGAGGTCCACGTTTGGGTCCCGCACAGGCGCGGTGACAGAGGAAACACACGTGAGCTCAGTTTCCCAGCCTGTGCCGTGTTGTGACGAGACAGGAAGAAGTCAGCGCCGGAAGTGACGCCTGCCTCGCTCAGCCGAGCCGGTGGCTACGTGACCGTGGATGGGGAAGACACCGAAAAAGCCCTCTGCGGCTGCATGCCAAATTAATTGCTGGGCAATAGCCTGGGAATGTAGCGTCGAGCAGCGCTTCAAAGCAGGCGAACTAAATACCAAAAACAGGTATGGACGAAATTGACTTGCTCAATGCAAGCACAACGAGTCCAGGAACTGCTGTGACGTGGGACGGAAGTGTGCAGCACAAAGCAACGCGCGGCCTCGGTTCAGTTCTTCGAGCAAACGCATATTTTGAGGATTTGGGTTCAGTCCGAAAGCTTCGTGATCCTTTGAAGATGCTCTCTTCATTCCGTTGGTTTTGGGCTTCAGTGGAGCTGCCAAGCGTTACGCCAGACTTGCTTGCCGTGCCTGTACCCCAGTCGGGAACACGGGCTGCGTCCCGTTTCACGCTGGAGCTTGAGATGCCTGAGCTCCACAAGCCTATCCTTTGCTGGTCTTGATTGCGGACTTTCAGGAGTCCCCATGCGGGGCAACAAGCACACTGGCCGGAAGCACAAGAATCAGAACAAGAAGACCAGGCAAGTCAACAGTGATCAGTTTAGTGGTGCTGCGCAGTGCAACTTGTAAGGCACCTTTTGCTGCCTCAGGCCGTCTGTCATCGCAGCAAAGCGCCGTAACAAGGACATCGATCAAGTTCATGAAGACCTGAAGGCCCAGCAATCCGTGCTGTTGAACTGCATGATATTGCAGGTCTGTGCGTGACTGCATTGCCCCTGTGCTTCGAACCTGCTGCTGCATGCTGGCAGACGCCACAGAAGTTTCAAGCTGGCAGCCTTCCACGCGATGAAGACTTGCTTGTCGCCGAGCATGCTTGAGTGGTAACTGCAAGCTGCAAGTGGTGAGCCCCAGGCCCCAGGCTCACCTTTGCAAGCGAATCTGACAGTGTGCTGCATGCCGAACTCCTGGCCTCGAGCCTCGAGCTGTTTTGCTAAAGTTGCGGTACTAAGGCCCGGTATGGGACAGTTCTACTGCATAGCTTGCCCGTCTCTAAGCTTCTGTGGAGCCGTCCATGCTGTACACACGAAAAGCACCCGTGCCACCAGCCCAGGCAATCGCTTCTTTGCGTCAGAGGAGGTCAAAGAGAAGCATGAAAGATCGAAGTCGCGATCCCAACACTGGGCAAGGCGATATAATGCGGTTCTTGCAACAAATGCGATCCAGGTTGCACAAGCGAAGGCTGCAGAAAGCTTCTGATGATCCGCATACGCAGCAGGATGCTGAGATGGCCGTTGGCTTAACGACTCAAAGATAGCTCACGCCACTCGCACCGACAGTTTCACCACGTTAGTGCAGCTCTGCACAAGCACAGCTCCTCGCAAAAAGATGTGCTTAATGCATCGTAGCGCAGAATCCCCCCGCAGACCTTCGACGGCTTGTGGATGCTGACAAGTAAGATTCATGAATCACGTTTGCACCGATTGTGGTTTATGCTCGTTTACAGACTGCAGGGTTCCTACTGGCATGCAGACCACAAGAGACATGAACCCTGAAAAAGTTTGGATTGATGTGGGCAGGTGTCATTGCATGTCCTGGCAGCCATGCGGACGGTGTGCCGTCCATGCCTGTGTGTCATAAACCCTAGTGCCCTAGTACTGCCAATCCACCGAGCCATTGAAAGCCTTTTTGTGCGATTGATTGTCAGATGCCACCGCATGTGTCAGGCCAGGGCATTTGGCAGGTCCACAATCAAGGACGCAGCAACTGCGTCCAAAGCATCGCGGAAGCAGAAGCAGCAGATGTTGAAGAACTCTTCTGTCTTGGCTGGGAAATGTGGTCGGAAGAACTTACCCAAGCCGTGGCCTCCAATCGGCCGTGGCCAATGCCACCTGCGATCTTAGCTGATGCGCCAGTTGCGGCTGTTCGTGTGGCGGAAGCAGCAATGAATGCAGTGGCAGCCATTTGGCGCACCGACGTGGAGTACAGGAGGCTCTTGCAGCATGTGGAGGAGCTACAGTCGCAACAAGAAAGCGTGGGTAAAGAGCGGCAAGATGCCAAAGATGCCTCTGCCGTGCCCTCGCTTCCACTGCACGAGCAGCAGCGCCTGGCAAAAGCCCTCCTCAGCGAGGAGCAAGAAGTGCGAAGGCTGCGTGAGAGGGAGAAGGCTTTGAGCGAGCAACTCGCTGCAGCGCGAGCTACTGCTCGAAAGCTCAAGGAGCGCGACGCCAGCTACAATGCAAGTGATCTGGAAAGGCAGGCTGCCCTCACAACAGCGAAACGCCAGGAGGCAACTGCACGGCAGCAGTTTCAGGACCGAGAGTCCGAAATCCAGGTGCTGCGGCGTGAAGTCAACGACCTGTCATCACAACTTGCCAAGAAAGATGCCGTGCAGGCTTCTCTAAGCAAGCAGATACGTCAGCTCAATCTCCAGCTGCAACGGGCAAGGCAGCAGCGGGAGGACTTGACGCTCGATCTGAGACATTACCTCGCCACCATGCAAGACCAGTTTGCGCTGGAGATGCGCGAGTGTCCGGTGGAGCTCCAGGATCTTGCATCGTCCATCACGAGTGAGGCACAGCGGTCACCGAGGTCAGTGCCCAGACCAGTCAGATCTCCGGCACGGTCCCTTTCTGCAAGACTGCTTGAGTTCGACCGACCTGAGTCTCCTATGCGGGAACAACAAGCACGGAACCCCGCGCTGGGTCCAAGTCCACCACTGGGTGAGCGTGGCCGACCAAACGTTTCCGCGCAGCGTTCGCGCAGCCCGGATGGTTCCAGATCCCCTGGCGGCCCGAGTCCAAGAAGCCCTGGCTATGAGGTCACAGAGGCCGACATTCTGGGAGACTGGGATCGCTCCCCGAGCCCGCGTTCAGCCTTTCGTCTCACAAAGAGCCCACGCCCTTTGGCTCACGGAAAAGCCGTCTTGGAGCTGCTGCCTCCCGTCCCTTGTCGCATTTCTTGCCGAGCGTTTCCCCGTATGCAAGCATCCGTTGCACTGTCCTGCGTGTGGAACGAGCTCCCAGGATTAGTGAGTCACCATTGGGAGAAGGGGGCAGCTGAGTCAGTCTCCCGACCTCGTTTTGGAGACCTTGCTTCGGGGTCTTCCGTGCGGTGCGTTCGCAGGCTAGATCATGGCAGCTGCGTAGGGCATGCAGGTTGGTAGGTGTACGTGCGGAGCATGGAGCCATTGGAGCCATGGATCCGTATGTGGCCTCGGCGCCTAAGCTACGCATACTTTGTCTGCATGGCCGCTGCCAGACTGGGTCGACCTTCGAGAAGAAGCTCGAGAGAGTAGCGGTCAAGTCCGAAAGCTTTGCTGAATTCGTGTCACCAGTCTGCAACGAAGACCTCACGAGCGATAGCTCCTCGGAGTCGCACCGACGACACGTCCTCAGGTTTGTGGACGGCCCGCTGGAGCTACCTTTGCAGCACGGAGAGCGCATTAACACGATTCTGATCTGCAAGAGGTTTGTACTAAGTTTGTACACACGCTGGCAGTACATGGCGGTACACTCTGTCGAAGAGGCAGAGGGCCGCCTGAAGTTGTAAAGTGCGGCCTACAGAGCCTGCGAGGGCCGCCTAGAGAAGCTCGAAGTGCCAGGGCCACGACTGCAGGAGATGTCGTGCTGACCCTAGCCTTAGCCGTGCGCTGTCAGGAGAGCTTGGTGGCCGGACGCTAATAGATCGGACGCTGCGGCAGCTGCGGTGCGCGAGGCTCGGAAGAGGAGATCTTCAGTGAGTTGCCTCCAGAGCCCATGCGGGAAGGTCTTGTCGAGATCTTGGGCAGAGCTGGGCCCGTTCGATGGCGTGCTGGGCTTCTCCGAGGGAGCAGCTGCTGCAGTGCTGTGCTGCCAGTGGGCCGAGCAACTCCACACTCTGCCGGAGCCATGCCAGAAGCAAATGTGATGATTCGACGTTTGCCGGATCCATGATGTACCGCTTTCGGTACAGTTCTTGTTCTATGTGGACTAAGGAGATCGACGCTGCGTGGATTGTCTGAGTTCAAAATCTACTTCGTAAGCTCTCCAAGCGTGTGCCATGAAGCCCAGATGCAAGGCCAGTAGCGATTCGCGCAAGGTTCTCGTGTTTCTTGCCCGTTGAGGCCTCTCTTCGGGGAGCTTACCTTCGCCATCCTCTCTGGTGCACCAGCCCCTGTTGCATCTCCGGTGCCAGCGCTGAAAGCGAAGTCCCTACACTTTGCTTCGGCGCAAGACACAGTGGTGCCGCTGAGCGAAAGCCTGCGCTGTGCGAAGGCTTTCGACGATCCTGAGGTGATCGAGCATGACGGTGGGCATTGTGTTCCGCAGCGAGCGGAGGACATTCGGAGCCTCGCTGCGTTTCTTGAAGCTCGCTCAAAGGAATCACGCCGGATGCTCGGCAGAGCCAGTTCTTCTGACCTGGAAGAGGAACCCAAGGTGAACCAGGAACAAAAGGATGAGATAGAGGCTCTTTTTGCCATGTTCGGGGAGGACGAGCTGTGCTTGCTCAAGCCAGTGTGGCCAGTGCGCCTGGCCGTCCGCCTTCAATATGGTGAGAGCTTTGCTGCCCTTCGGTTTCTTTTTCCTCCGAGCTATCCGCACAAGGCTTCGTGCCTCTGCGAGCTTGAAACCCGCGATCTCGGACTGCAGGCTCACACCCGAGAGCTTCTAGAAAGGGTGGAGGCATCGCGGGAGCCGCTGGGCTTTCCCAGTGTGATGGCCATGGTTCAGGCGGCGCAGGAGTGGATCTCAGATCACGAAGCGGAGATATGTGGACGTGCAGATCCCGCAAGTGGCATCAGGGAGGCAGAAGCTGAAGAGGCCGAAGACGCCTGTGATGCTTGGTGGCTTCGTGATGAGACCGAGGTCGATGAGACCATGTTGGCAGAGGCAGAGAAGAAAGCTGCCGGCTTGCTGCCTGACGGTGGCGATGAGAAGTCCTGGGCTCGACAGTGCGGAGCTGGTAGTTATGGAAAGTCTTGGGAATTCATCATTGGTCTGGTCGGAAAGCCTTCGGCTGGTAAGTCCACACTCTTCAATGCTGCCACACGTCCGGAAGTGGCAGGCAAGGAGGCAGCCATGGCTCCGCATCCTGCTCAAAAATCTTGCAAAGAGCTTGTTGTTTCGGTGGATCTAGCTTCTGGTTTATGCCTCTGTGTTGCCCGCTGCAGGCATCCCTTCACTACCATCGACCCTAACATTGCTGCGGGTTGGTTTGCGGCCCCGTGTCCTTCCGTGGAGCTTTGCTGCCAGGAGACTCCCGCTCACAGCATGTGATTTCGGAGGTAAAGGGCTAACGGCAGGATAGACTTGGATCTGCTTTCAAGGAGGAGTGCGAACCCGAATACGGAAGATCTCACAACAGCGAGCGTCGCTTCCCGCTCTGGGTGAAGGATGTTGCAGGGCTCGTTCCAGGCAGCCGTTTTTTGGCAAACCACAATGTAGCCTTCATATCCGGTATATGGCAGGGTAGCCCCTTGTTTCATGATGACAATGATGACCTATGCTATGCAGCATGCATGTGGAGGTGCTTACATGGGTCGTGGCCGTGGAAATGCCTTTCTGAATGATCTCTGCGATGCTGACAGTTTGATCCACGTCGTCGATGCTAGTGGAAGAAGCGATGCTGAAGGTGTGGACCAGGGGTCCTCCACAGAGCCTTGCCTGGAGCAAATCTGGGCAGGTGGGCTTGCGGACCGTTGCTGCAACTTTATTTCGTTCTTCGTGTGCGATTTCTGTGGCCGTCTGAGCATTCACTCACGTGCAACAGCAGGTGTTGCTCCTCTAGTGTTAGAGCTGTAATGTTAATTTTAGATTTGCGGAAATAAACTGGACTGCAAGTCCCCCCTCAGAGTAGAGGTTCTAGGTCAATCACGGCACCTTTATCTGCAGTCTACATTGTAAAATGCATGTCTGCTGTTAGGCGTCCCATGCCGCGGCCGTAAGGTTAGTTAGTTACACGCGGTTATGGAGGCGTTTGCAGTGAGCAACATCTGCAATCGAAGCGGTTTGATTTCTGATTTCTGCGAAACTTGAGACGTGCAGGTCCCTGTAGTTCATAACCGGAGCTCGGCTTGGTGACTGTCTGTAGCCCTTCTGGCGCCCTAAGGGCAAGACTGCCTCGTCGGATCCACTGGAGGAAATTGGCTGGGTGCGTAGAGAAATTCATTTGTGGATTTTCTGCAACTCGTCAGCCACTCTGGATTTTTCAGAGTTTTCCATTGGAGGGGTGGTGGATGATGGCTGCAGAAGCTTCTCTGTTGATGTAGCTGGTTTTGAAGTTTTTGTGATTTCCACGTGACAGTATCCATGCCATGTACGGGAGGTCAATCCGGCCTGCGAGCTTGAGGCAATGTGCGAGCAAAGTGGGATACTGTGCGAAGAAAAGCGAAACTGGCCAAGCTGAACTCCTCCCTGCGAGATCTTGCCGCAGAGCGGCTGTTTACGTTGTTTACAGGCTGGAGCGTTTGACTTGCCGTGTTTAGGATACTGTCTGAGACGTAATGCTGTCGGCTGTGCTTGCGCAGTCGGGTACGGAGGCTATCGAGCTTCTCAGCAATTGGCTGCTCAAGTTTACGAAGCAACTGGGCACAGCTTGCCAAACTTAGCGGAGGAGACGGCGCAACGTGAACCCTGGCGCTTTTCTAAGACCAAGAAGTCGAAGCATTGCTCCTGCCCCTAGTCATGAGAACTAGCTTGCCCGGTATTGGATGCAGGATGTCTTGAAATGGAGCGAGTTCGATCTGCACTTGCTGGTGGCGTGCTTCTTGAGAGTCCGCTTCCCCATCGTCGTGGCGCTGAATAAGGCGATGATTGCTGTCAAGTTGTCAAGTGTGCTGTGTTGTACTGCACGAGAATGAACGAGACATGCGAGAAAGGGTCAAGCCAAGCCAGGCGGATACACCAGAAGCGGCCCACCACATTTCCCGAGTGCAGGCAACGCGAGCACATGTGTTTAGAGATGCTGAGATGCGCGCAGTGCTGTGCAGTGCGTGGTGTGGTCTGCCTCTGTGCAGAGGCGGCCTTGGGCGACACCTGCTTGCCAGTCTCCGCTCGGAGCGAGTTATGGCTGTGGCAGCAGAGGCGCAAAGGCACGCTGAGACGGGTGCGGGTGAGCTGTCTTCTCCCGGGCTTGTGGCTTCTGGTGCCTACACGGGCTAGAGCAATGCTGCGGCGTGAGCAGGTACGCTGGCCTACGAGGATGGTGGTGGCTCTGTGTCGGTTTTGGGCGATTTTCCCGAGGTGGAGGAGCAAGTTAAACTGCTGCGCCAGAAAGTGCTGGATGAGTATGTCTCTACGGGTGTCTTGAAGGCAACGGATCTTTGGACTGGAATGCGGGTACAGCGGGCGCACGAGTAGGAGTCGAGTTTTGCAGGTGCTGTCACAGGCAGTTTACCGGCGAAAGCCAATCTTTTGCTGCCCTGTGGCCGACTTCTCCACATTGGAGAGTCTGCCAAGGCAGGGGCAGCTTCTTTGTTATCATGTTGGTAAACTGTGCGATCCAACATGCACGAACAGGACTGGCTCTTCACCAACGGGTGGATACCCGAAGCCCAACCAGACGAAGCCCAAGCTTGCGACGATGCTAATGCTGCGGCCGCTCTCGACCGCAGAGGAGGCGGGACTGTTGCCTGGCCGAAGCACTACTGAGCGTTGGGAAGCAGCGGCATAAAGGTCTATGCGGCTCTCAAGAATGAGAGACTCGGCCGGCATTCGTTGCAGCAGAGCGTGAGCGTGAAAATGCTAGAAACCGCTCACGAGGCAAATGGTTCGAGGGGACCTTGTCCGTGCAGAGGTGCTTCAGATCAACGGCAATGGTAGCACACAGGCCGGTCTTCGATAAGATAGTTTTTGCAGACTTGCACAGAAAATTTTGAAAAGATTCTTCGCCCAGCTTGGGAATGTTGCAGGTGCAAGTTCTACGCCGTGATGACACGCTAAGACCCAAGACCTCTCCAGCGGCCTGGGTGGTTCGCGTCTTGACCAACAAGAAGGCGCCGTGCCCAAGTTTCTTGTCATACCATCTGGACCCGATGAGCTGTCTTGAACGCAACCGCGGCCAGGTGAAGTAGGTGCAAAGCTGGCAGTAGGGAGGCTTCGGACAGACTGCGCCTGCTGATCCCAAAAAGATAGGGCACGCTGCTTGTCCGGCTTGTCATGCCGCGTTCTCGCCAAAGCTTCTCTCTGTTTTCAGCGAGTGTGTCGGCTATGAAGCAGGCTAGTTCAAGCATGCCCGAATGGGACTGCAGAGCGGCTGCTTGTGATGCCGGCACATCCAGGAAAGCGCCATGCGCCAGTTCCAGCACGAATGATGTCGACGTCTGCAGGAAGTCGAGGTTTCAGCTTGTGCTGTCAATGACAGCCTCAACGGTCACACCGGTCATGATCCCGGGGCGATGTATTTGCGGCGTGAAGTGTTAAAGAAGCCGTCTTTGCTGCGTCTTCTGAGCAAGGAGGCGAAGCCCACTGACACTTCGGACTTGGCAAAGCTAAACGAGCTGGCCACCCAAGGAGAAGTCACTCAGGCAGAGGCATTGTTTCGACAGCTGGAGGATGCAAGCTACTCGTGGAAACCGTCGAGCAGGACAGGCGTACAAGCACTCCACTGCTCCACTGAAAAGCCTAGATGCCCGACCGCCGGTTGCAGGAGAATGCTGTGGAATACTATGTTGAAGGCCTGCGCGAATGCAGGAGACAGCCAAACAGCCGAGCAGTTGTATCGATCAATGCTCAGTCGGGGACTGAGTTGCCTTCTGGTATCTTTTGTATTCAGGACTAATGACTAATGTTACTGATGCTTTGACACTTGTTTCCTTCCGCAGTTCCATGCATTCGCAGCCCTGTCCTTCCTCTCCTGTGCTCCTTGTTGGCTTTCCGCGTGTCCTTTCACGAGCGATCGCGCCAGTCCTGACCGTGTCGTAATTCCTCGGCTGATAGAGCCATGCAGTGTGGCCGCATGGCTCAGGTATACGAGTTGAACCGAACCACAAGACGTTCGGGAAGCTTATAGAGGCAGCAGCGAAGAGCACGCAGCCACAGGAGGCCACAATTTGGCTCCAGGAAATGCTGCACTGCGGCTTCGAGCCACATCTACTAAACTACAACGAACTAATCTCTGCCGCCGCAAATGAACATGATCTGGATTCAGCGACGAGTTGGTTGTGGCATCTGGGGGAAAAGAGATTGCAGCCAAATCTGATTTCGTACAACTCCGTCCTCAATGCTGCAGCCAAGAACGGCGACCTGAACACCTGCACGCATCCCGCCTCTCTAAGGCAATTTTTCGTGAGAGCTCCGAGCCGTTTTTTTCCTTTGACGACGCATCGGCTGTGCCAGGGCCATATACAACACAATGCAGAGTGCTGGCATCCTGCCGAATGCCATTACTTTCAACACCATCATCAGTGCCTCAGCACGGGCTGAGTCTGGAGTTGCTGCAGCGGGCGCATGGCTCGGACGGATGAAATCGGTCTCCGTGGCGCCAGGAGCAGAAACTTACAACGTGTCTCTGCTGTCCTAAACCCTTAGACTGCGAGAAAATCGAATCGTCGGCCTCCTTTGGCGTTGTCCAAAGCTCCGCTGCTCGGCTCAGGCACTCCTAGACGTGGCCGCGAAGCACCAGGACGTCCGAGCCGCCGAGCGCTTCTTCCGCGAGCTCCTGGCCGAGGCCCTCAGCCGCCAAGTCTCCGACTCCGGTTCGTAGCACCGTGAACAGTGTCACGAGTTTGCATTGGGCTGGTCGTTTCCCGCCTCCCTTGCTGCAGCAACGGTACGGAACTCGTTAGACCAGGATTGGTATTTTCTCGCCCGCGGGTATCCGCACTTCCGCTCGCCTGCTGCAGGTGTGTACGCCTGTTCTGTTTGCTGTCTGTTTGCCCTCTGTCAGATGCAAGGTTTGTATCTTCAGGTAGGAGGCGAGTGCTGCGTCCAAGAGTACGGCAGGGTTCAGTGCTGTCAGTGCATCCACTCTCCATTGGAATCTGAAATGTCTATCTGACACCTGTCGCTATCGCCTCTGGTACCGTACTGAGTCATGAAGTCACGAGGGGTGGCCAATCATCACCAACAAAGAACCGCAATACGGCAACAAAACAAACTAAACAAACAACTGAAAATGCCCACACACACACACACAAAACGCAAAGCCGACTATGCCGTTCCTGGCTCCAACCGTTGCGATCTGGTAACTGGATTCCTCTGTTTGGGTCGATGTGCAATGCATGCAGCACAGGAGGTTTTCGCAAGTAAGTGAGTGTGAAGGCGCCCTCGTTTTGGTCGCTTCAGTCCCGAGAGCTCACGGATGTACACACAAGCGGATGATTTGAAGCTTTCACCATGACAAGGGCAGCTGTGTGCACCCTGCTGTTATGTTTTCAGTGTCCGGCCACGTGGACGGAAAAGACCAACCGCATGAAGGGTGTGTGTTTGAGTGACATGGTGCAAGATGTGCTGACCAGCCCAACAAACTGCCAGAGATGTTCAAGAGGGTCTTGTCACATCTGCCCAGAGTCCAGGGGTGGCAGCCCTCCGCTGTGTCCTGGCGGACCTTGATCGCCGCAAGCACCAGTTCTGGAGAAGTGCAGTCTGCGCGAAATGCGTTGAGAGCCATGTCTGCTTGCAAGATCGAGCCAGACGCAGAGTTTCAGCCGAAGCTAGCCTTGCTTCTCATTTTCGTTTCCAATCCAGCAGAAGTAGACATCGCAACTTCAGCCGAAGCTTTGCGCTGAGGTGACCTATGCGACGCTTCTGCGAGCGGAGCAGAGATCCAGCAGCTCCGCTTGCGCAAAGCAGCAAATGCCAGAGCCCTCGGAAGAAGATGCTGGCATCGTCATGAACATACTCGCAGACGCTGCAGCTGAAGCAGCTGACGTTTCCGGGGCGGAGCAGGTCTTGCTGCAATGCAGGCCAGGAGCTTAGTTTCAAGCCATCAGACATCCTGCTGTGGGCGGGCTGGGGCCCATTCTGGTCAGCATCGCAAGCGCCAGCTCTCAAAGCCTTTCATTCCAGAGGGCCAGCCAAGCCTTGCATTGCATCCAATCGGACGGCCCGCCCTACTGGAGCTACGTGGTGAAACACTTGTCCGACAGATGTCTGGGGCCTGGCAACAGGAGTAGGAGAGCCACGCGCCGCCCACGATTCTTTGTAGTCCCAACCATGTCAACAGGCGATCGGTTGCATGCTGCAGCAGGGACGGCGACAACAAACTCAAGTTTGGGCGAGTGACGGAGGTCCGGGTGTGCAGCATGGGTGCGAAGCAGGTCTAACGGCGAGACACCAAGCCAATGCACACTTGTATCGACCGGCAACGCTCACAACGGTCATAGTTAGCATGCATGTAAAAGCCATTGAGGGTCTTGATGCTCTTTGGATGATCTGTGTACTTGGCCGTACCTCGCACAGCAGTGTGCAATTAAACCTCCGAGGACGCTGGGGTTGCAGCCAGACCGCTTCACTTACACGGCTGTCATCAAGGCTTGTGTGGTCGCAGGTGATACGGAGCGTCGGATGCCTAGTTGGCACTGCGGCGTAATGTTTGAGACTCAAATCTGTGCGCCTTAGACTCGGGCACGGACCTGCTGTTAGCCTAGCATGAGATGAGATTGCAGGTGCAGAGCGCCACTTTGCTTCGATGATGCAAGAGGCATCTGTGTTGCTGCTTGCCGCTTGGACAAGAGTCGGGTTGGTGCTGCAGGTTCAACCAGACCTGGCGGTGTTTGGCCTCCTGCTGCGGTCCTGCTTTGGGATGCCGTTGGGAATGCGCCAGCGGAAGGCCACAAGATGGCTTTTCGCAAGCCATTGGCAACATTGTCCATAAGGCCGAAGTTTAGTCAGCGCTCTCGGTGTGTTATCTTCATGCACACAGTCAGAATTTGAGGTTTCGCATGATGTGTGCCAGCTGCCTATCGCCTTCGGTACTGGAGTACACGCAGCTGCTGCAAGCTTTGGCTGGTGAACCTGCGAGCAGCACATCAAGCCGAAACCAACGGCACCCGGTGGCGGCATGCTGGCTCCTTAGCTTCGATCACATCTCTGACTCTGGGGCCTTTGCTGTCGCTTGCGGCTGGCGGCTTCTGTGCAAGAAAAGCTTCTGTCAAAGACAAGACACCTCAGACCTCAGACATACTGAGTGAGACTGAATATTGTGTGTTTCGAGCCTAGCCTTGGCAAATGCCGTGTCAAGCTTTTTGTAGGAAAGCGTCTCTTTGCGAGAAGCCCCGGAGGATGAATCGCGAGGTGAACGTGTGCGCGCACACGCGCACACACTGACTGATACCTTTGGGGTGCGCTTTGCAGGCAATACAACTGCGCATGGGAAGCGAAGACACGCAGCTGTGGACGGCATATTGATCGTCCATCTGGGATTACTGTACCGAAGGAGCAGCATCGACCGGGCACGGTCGATGCTGAGAAGTGAAACTGTGCTTTATTTGCATTGCCTCTTTCCGACGACGTCGGTCACAGAGGCGATCCAGACGAGACCTCTTGCATTCGGTTTCATACATGCTACATGTAGGTGCGGGACTTCCAGTGACATGATGCACGGCTTGTCGTCGGTCTATCTTCATACACCTTTAGTGAGTGAGTGTGTGTGTGTGCGCGTGTTAAAATGGTGTAGTTGCATCAGCGCATTTTCATGTTATGCTACAGGCCCACAGCTGCAGTCCTTCTATCTGTTGAGGTGGCCGACGACTGGTAAGATAAAACATTGATTCTGAGAATGTCTGCATGTTTGCTCCTTGTTGCATGCTGACTCTTGTTCGAATGACACGGCTCCTGCTTCTGTGGCGGTCCTCTACAGGTCCACAAGTTGGGGAGTCTCCCGATCTCGATGAGCCTATCCCAGACGTGGAGAAGGTCTTCCGTGAAATGCTTGCGAAGGGCATTCGACCAACCCGCATTACAATCAGAGTTGTCGAGAAGGTGTTGGGGCGTCGAGTCGTGAAGAGAGTGCTTGAGGAACTAAATGTAGACGAGATGTTATTGGGTGACTTGTCTGCGGCGGATTTCCAGAGGCGCCGCGCATTGGTCGCCCCTAGGGCGCAGGAATGGGAACGCCATAAACGCCGCAGCTATTTGAAGCCGACTCAGACATTGGCGGCAGCTGACCCAGCAAGAAGCGCGCACTGTCCGTGGGCCGTCTGCGGATTTGCCCTGCCGACAAGCACAGCACCCAGTGGAGACTCTGGCCCAAGAGAGACAGATCACAACGGCACTTTTATCAAAGAAGCAGAGTGAGTGCAATACGTTGCAGAATTCAGCAGATTAGCCACTAGGAGCTCCAGTCAAGCTGAATCTGTCACCTCCACCTACCAAGCCAGCGATGCGATGCACTTGCAGACGGGATGGGTGGCTGTTTGGAGGCGATGGGGACAGCGCCATTTAGCCACACTTCGGCTGCAGCTTGAAAATCCCACTCACTTGCCCGGCGCTTCGACTACTTGGATTCAGCGTTTCGTCGGTTGACTAGGCCAGTCCGGGCACACGCCGAGGTGAACGTCCCTTTGACCTTGGGCCGTTCGCGTGCCATCGAGTGCCTTCAGATGCCGAGCCGATACGTTTGGATCGCTGGCTCCAGAAGCATGTTTGCCGGAGGCCAAGGTACAGAGCTTCGACTTTGGGCCACTTCCCAGTTCTTGAAGCCAAGGCTCGAACTGGAATGCTGGCCAAAAGCTAATTAGCTCAAAACAGGTCTGGGCGACTCGGCCTTTAGGCTCTCTCTCTCTCTCTCTCTCTCTCTCGCTCTCGCTCTTTCCTCCTGCCCGCACGGGGACCAGGTGATGAGCCCGACTGCAACTGCAGAGGAGCACCGCGGAAGTGTCGTGATTCCGCGCTTTCGCCCCACTTGTCAAGGGCGCACACCATTGAAAGCAAACGAGACACGGCGTTCGCCAGAGAATGAGGTACTTGTAGACGCAGTCCCGGTTGTGCTGCTGAAGGCCCGTTGTCACAACTCAGGACTTGGTGTACTTTCCGAAGGTCATGAGCCCCGTGCCGAAGAAGCGCGTACCAGTGCGACAGAAGGAGGAAACTCCCGGATGGTTGCTTAGACGATTCTTAGCTGAATGTTAGTCACCGGCTTCTTCCGTGTACCGAGTGGCAGAGTCGATGAGCACACACTGCCAGGAATCATTTACAAAGACACAGACTTCCTGGTCTTGGACAAGCCTTCTGGGTGGTCCGTCGTTCCAGGCAAGCATGTCGGTGGAATGCACTTGCTGAGATTGTTGCCCAGCCTCCAGTTCGGCATGGAGGACCTGCAGGGACGGCAAATTTCACCCTCGGCAAAACTCCAAGTCCAAACCTTTCCCACATGGCCCCAGGAGCCCCCACGGCTGGTCCACCGCCTGAGCACGGAGATGAGCGGTGTGCTGCTGCTTGCGCGGCACAAGGCTGCGGCGTCTTTCGCCAAAGACATGGTGGCACAACGCTCTTTCTGGAAGCGAGAGCTATGGGCTGTCGTCTGTGGAAGGACTCCCAAATCCGGGCAAGTCTCGATGCCTTTAGCTTTGGAAAGGCTCGGCAAAGGTTCTGTTGCGAAGCCTGTCCGTGAAGACGACGGTGGCCTGCCTGCCTTGACTGAATATTCTTCGGTCTTGTACTCTCCGCTCGCTGGTGGCTTGACACTCCTGTCCATGAACCCATATAGCGGACGGTATCACCAGACACGCGCGCACTGTGCCTTTGGGCTGCGTGCACCTATGGTGGGCGACCCGGTCTATTACCAGATGTCCAACGAGCTGTCCACGGTCTCCGACTTCAAAGTGAAGTGTTCGGGCTGCAATTTTGACCAAGCAAAGCGGTGTCTGTGGGTTTTTACGTTCCTAGTAAGGATGTGGTGAGCCGGAATCGGGTAGAGACCTCATAGTCGAATTCGCTGTCGAAGCCTCGTGGCGATGTGGAGCCGCTTGATCCACACAAAAAGCAGAAGTTGCATCCAAGGCAGACCGCTTAACCTGAGGCAGGGGCTACCGGTAAACCTGCTAACCTGCGGTTGGGAGCTTTGAACTCAAATCGAGATGGGTCACATCAAAGAACAGATGCAACAAATGCAGGTTGCAGTAAGGCCATATTTGTTTCCCGAAGATGCACAGGTACCACTCTGCCGAGGCACGCCGCGAACGTGCCGAGCTCTTGGGCGCCCAGCCCCGCTACTCGACACAGGGAGGGCAAAATGTGCGGCTTCTTTGTGTGCGTTGTCTTTGGGCTTGTCACTGTTGAGCATCTATGAAGACCAGGCACGGGCACCGGTTTCAGGGGCTGCGTGTGCTCGGCCGGGCGACCAAAAAGGAGCTACCGCACCCAGCATATAGGAGTTTTGGCTAGCACTTGTTCTTCTTGCGCTCCCACTCCCACAAGCCTGTCGCGAATGGAGGATGATCGATTCCATGTTGGGATTGAAGAAGGCTTGACAGTGTCAGGGATGGCGGAGTGCCCACAGGCATCCAGGCTAGAAAGAATAAAAGCTGACAAGGCGTAGCACTGCCCGTCGCTACGAGCCCTGCTTCTCATGGCGGCCGCCATCCGAATCCTTTGTCATGAAAGACCTGAGCGCTATGCCTCCTGATGCTATAGCCTGCGATTTCGTGCCCTTGCATTGCGAGACTTTTGATGATGGCACAGCAGACAGAGAGAGAGAGAGAGAGAGAGAGAGAGAGAGAGAGAGAGAGAGAGAGGGGGTCAATCCCCTACACCCTAACCCTGGCGAAAGAAAGAGAGAGAGAGAGAGAGAGACTTGCAACTCTGGGGGCTTCCCCGGCTGCTCGCACACACACAGGTGGTTTTGGCAGTCTACGGTTGTGTGCCTTTGCGAGCGCAGTCTGCGTTTCGAACAGTGTGCGGGACCCCAATACGGGGCTGCCAGTCGGGAGCTCAGCTCGAGACGGGGGACCGATTCACACAGTAGGGGGGTTGTACCCCTAGCCTTCGAGGCGGGTTGGGGTTTAGTGTTCTGGGAGTTGTGGTAGGGGCACCGGTGAATCGGTCCTTGAGTTGTCTCGGCCTTTCGTTTGTTCCTGTACACACCCCAGTGCGCGATATCGCGCGAGGGGCTGCGTTGACGCGTTGCCCCTCCGACTGTGCTGAAGAGAGAGAGAGAGAGAGAGCAAGCACGGGGGATTCTGGCACCCAGGGGAATGATTCCGAAGCTGTTGAAGCTTGAGCAGGGCCGTAAGATGGGGGTGCCAGAACAGCCCTCGTCACCGGGGGGACACAGCATGAACACAGTGCACGCTGTCCGGCCTGGCCCTCAGAGTGTAGAGTTGCGTGTGTGCCTGCTTGTAGTAAGCTTTCGCAGTACGGTCTTATGGCATGGTCACACAGAACTACAAGTAGGGGCACACGGCACAGAGCTCCGCCCTCAAAAGTGGGGGAACAGACGAGGCGCGGAAGTTTGGTTCGATAGGTCTTAGGGGGGTTGTTCGGGTGCCGACCGCAAGCCTCAGTCTGGTGGGAGCCTCGAATGGACTAAAGGACATCGGGGAGCGCTCGCGCGCGCGGGGCTGCACGCAGCCCTTGACCGCATGCAAGCAAGCAAGAGAGAGAGAGCATACGCCTTGCAAGCAAGCAAGCAAGAGAGAGAGGCCGGATGCGGGCTAAAAGTTAAGGGTTGGGGGATACTCGCCAGACGTTCTCTACCGGTAGTATCAACCACGGGGGACAACCCCTCGCTTTCGACCCGAAAGCCCCTCTTCCACAAACAAGGAAGGCATGGGGGGGCCTCGGCCCGGGTCTTCGGACCTTGCCCTAGTTGCGAGCGAGCGAGCGAGAGAGAGAGAGAGAGAGAGAGAGAGAAAGACCTGAGTGGTTTTGCGGTGATGATGTGCCGAAAGCATCCTGTTTGCACGTGCTTCCTCCTAGAGTGAACACCTGTTCAAGACAATGTTTGCGACGAACCGTCGTGATGACTATCCGTTGCTTGCAAGCTCCGCCCTGACCCAGTGTCCAGGCTTGCATTTGCATAGCCGCCAGCTGACCATCAAGACGTTTGCTGGGAAGGAAGTGACAGTTACAGCGTAGAGAGCTCGGTTGTTGTGGTGCATTGTTTAACTTGTGGCCTGCTCCGCTTAAGCAAGAGTTCATGTATTTCCAGGCCGCTTCCTACGCACATGTCCACAACTTTCCACGCTCTTGGATGGTCTGGTTGGCTGAGGCCTTTGCACTATCCTTACAAGTTCGAGACATCCTGAAATGTGTTTGTGCCAGTCCTCATCGGGCGAGTTGCGTCCACTGCTTGCCGTACTTTCGTAGCAGCATGAATCCTGCCTGCGAGTATTGTGTACACAGTTTCCTTGAATCGCAGGCGTGCTGAGCGACGTGCAGCTTTGGAAAGTGCGTGGCGGGCCGAAGAGGATCCGCATGTCATCGAAGCCCTGGCGCAGGCTCGAGTGGCAGAATGCCTTTCCTGGCCCAGAGCCCTTGCAGAGTGCAGAGGCCCGCATCGAGCACGAGCGTCACGGGAATGGCTCAACGTCGCCGGGCGGCTCTGCCGCTGGAGCCGAAGCAGAAGAGGAAAAGGAAGAGGAGGAACAGGAGCCCGCGGAGCATTCGGTGCCAGAGCCCGAATCCTCCGACCTCTCGGCTAGTTCACGTGGTCGCAGGTCCCTGGGCTGAACCGGCAAATCGCACGGTCATGAGCCTCTGCATGCCTCTTGAAACCAAGGTCGCGCAGAAAAACTTGAGGACCTCTGCACCCCGTTGAACGTCTTGGCTGACATGTTTGATGCTGGAAGGGACCGGCAAAGACAAACACCGGAATACAGCAGATGCGGTGAAGAAAGAACTCCAAGACATCCCTGTGGGGAACGACAGCGAGCATGGAGCACTCCGTCGTGATGTGGCTGCTGCCACACGCGACTGAATCTGCTGGCGTTCTTATTGCCAGACCGTGTTTATCCTCGTGCCCGGCTGTGAACCTTAAGACTTATAAGACCTTCGACTGAGGCACACATTGCTGCTTCCATGTGGGAGGCTCTGTCACCATGATGCAAAAAGAGGGAGTCGTGCTGACACGAAAAGGATAGAGATGCATTGCGGTATTCTTTGCGAGGCATGCCCAATTCAGGAAGGGTTGATGCTGTACTTGCTTGTCCTTGACGCATCCTTTGCGGGCTTGGCCTGGCAGTCCAGAGCCGGCAATTTCGACTTGCATGTCGATGTCCAGGAGTACGAGGTCGGTACCAAGCAGTGTGCATTGCAAAGTCCTGGTCCTGGTCTTCAGCAGTCCGTGAAGGTCTCAAGATTATCTCTTTCTCCCGAATCTTCCTGCCCTCGGAATGCTGAGCGAATGTTCCAAGACGTCACTATAGTCACACGATCATGATCACTTCGCAGAACTTAGATGCTGCTAGCTGACGAAGCAAGAAACGGGGAGCTTTTCCAAATAAGATAAAGATAGACAAAGTCCGAGCTCAGTTGAGGAACCTGTAAGTCGTGATGAACACGTCTTTGCACGATGTATCTGCGGCCCACTTCCGTCGCCCAGATTCCATACAGTACGAGTCCCGTGGCGCAGCGCCGGGATGGTTTTCTTGATACGCGTTCTATCACCTGGGTTTCACCATGGGCTACCGTTTTGGACCCTGTGTTCAGTGGTGACGTTTCGTTGCGGTTGTTCTTGCTGCGGTTATTGCAGTTGCTGTTGCTGCTGTTTCCAAAGGCCGCCTCAGCTGACGAGTGGGTTTTCGTTGCTTTGAGGCCTGTTGTTGTGGCTCCAGGCTTATCCCAAAGAGGGTTCAGCAAACTTTCGGCTAGCGGCTAGCGTGCCGAACTCCTTCGCCAGGATTGTCTCAGAGCGGGAATAGCCTCAGGCCATGCATGACGGCCTTGGGCACTTGTACTCAAACACAGCGACGAGGCCATCGCACTGCACTTCAATGCATGGTATTCTTAAGACCAACGCCATGGCCTGAGCTATGATGATTGGGTTGCGGCAGAGCCATCTTCAAGCTCAGCCATCTCAGCCGAGTCGGCCACAAGCCGGCAGACGCCGATCCCAGCAAGCCCGAGCCCCTATCGGATTCAATTCGCTTCTGGGTGCCACTGTTTTCGGCATCTCTGGTGCACGCTACATCCTACGGCGAAGGCAGGCGCGACAATGGAGAGTCATGCAGGTCCTGCCGGCAGGACTATCCCAGCTCCAAGATCACGCCGATCATTCATGGCTCAGGGAGCTGTCTCCAGATCCCCAGCAGGAGCTGCACGAGCCCAACCGTGAGAAGCGTCTGGTCTCCGCAGGCGGATGCTTGGAAAAACATGTTAAGAGCAGTTCTGCCGAAAAACAGACATGATCTTGGTGTTCAGACCAGGTTCACGGTGTTATGCACTTCCGTCTTGCGCTATCCCGACCTCAGATGCAGTGTTTCCCCTGATATAGTCTTGAGGCCACTATGTCCAGGTCAAGCCGACACCCTTGTTGAATTCGTGTCTCGTTGCTTGCAGTTCGGACATGGCAGATCGGCTTGGCCTGTCAGCGGCAGACTGCGAATCGGAAGATTTCCTCCAGTATGTGTCCGGGCACATGGAGAGCATGCCGAAAATGAGAAGCTGGTGCACCCCCTACACCTTGTCGGTGGCTGGAAACGAAATAACGACTGGCAACATGTATGGAGATGGTCGGGCGATTTCTGTCGGAGAGGTGATTATGGGAAATGGGAAGCGCTGGGAGCTGCAGCTAAAAGGAGCCGGAAAGACACCTTTCTGCCGCGGCGCGGATGGCAGAGCTGTCATTCGATCCAGCTTGAGAGAGTTCCTCGCGTCCGAGGCCATGCACCACCTCAGAGTCCCAACCACACGCAGCTTGTCTCTGGTCCTGTCCCGGTCGGAGAGTGCTCTGCGTGAGTGGCTGGGTGAGCGTGTTTACGAGCCCTGTGCAATTACCTGCCGGGTTGCAAGATCTTTTTTGCGAGTTGGCCACTTGGAGCTTTTCGGCCGTCGTGCCAGGGACAGTGGCTATAAGGCCGAGTCTCTCGAGCGACGGGAGCTTGAGCAGATCGTGCGACATCTCATTACCCGGGAATACCCTGAGTGTCTTGAGCCTGGTGAAGACACCAACCTGCAAGCACCTCTGAGGAGAATGCTATTGCCGATGGCGCGTCGCATGGCACGATTAGTTGCAGAATGGTGGCGTGTCGGATTCTGCCAAGGGAACTTCCAATCTGACAATTGCTTGCTTGGGGGCAGGACAATGGATTATGGCCCGTTTGGCTTCATGGAGAAATACAATCCACACTGGTGCAGCTGGACAGACGGCATTGACAAGTTCAGCTTTCGCGACCAACCAAAGGCATCGTATCAAAATTTTACCTGTGCCATCCGATCGATTGAGTGTCTTCTTGACACAGACGGTCGCAAAGAGGCGCAGTCGGTTTTACGGGCATTTCCGTCGCTCTTGGCTGATGCCTTCGCAGAGGTTCGAATGCAAAAGCTGGGACTGTCTTTCTGGGACGACAGAGGAGCCCAGCTGTGCGATGAGCTCCTCTCTCTCATGGAGCAGTCGGGCGCCGACTGGACCCTGACCTGGCGCTGCCTTGCCACGGTAGCGCAAGATTGGGACGAGCTGATGGAGAGTGGTAGTCTCTTGGCACCCCTGCGGCGGTGCTTCTACGAAAGCTTGAATCCGGACCTGGAGAGAGCATGGTCTCAGTGGCTTTGGGAGTGGCTTACCCGCTTGCGGGAGGAAGGAGATGATGCAGACGAAGTCGCAGACCGCATGAGGCAAGCGTCACCGAAGTATGTGCCTCGCAACTGGATGCTCATGGATGCATATCAGTCAGCTGAAAGTGGAAGCTTTCAGCTTGCACAAGAGCTGTTGCAGTTGTTTTCCAGCCCGTATGACGAACACCCGGAGTTCGAGAGCCGTTACTTTCGCCTAGCACCTCCGGAGGTCAGAACGCGGCCCGGGATCTACGTCATGAGCTGATCCTCTTAGATGCTGAAAGTTCTGGCGGAACGCGGGCAGGAAAGTGAAGCCTACGCTTTCTTGCAGAAAGCTTTGCTTGAAGCAATAGAAGCATGGTTGATGTCTGCCTTAACAGCGTTTTGCACTTTGCCTCACGCCCGCTGAAAAGACCTACTCGTTCAGAGTATTGCACCAGTGTTCATCATGAGCTTGCCTGAAAGCAGGAAGGACTTTCCCATCGACATAGCTACTTATGATCTTTTCGTCAAAGTGCCCTTGGGCTCAAGTGGTACTGGTAAGTATCTCAAAGAATCATTCCCAGGCGTTTGTGCCGCTGGGTTACTTGGCCGCGCTAACCCCTTGACAGCAGAACAGAGGAGATGCAAGACATGTTTTGCAAGGATTACGCTTTACGTCTTCATCCTACTGCCCTTGACTTGGGCCCGAATCCTACACTGGGAATCTGGAAACGCGCTGCGAGCTTTCATCTCACGTGCCAGCGGCCGCCAGCATACCGAGATTTTCGAGAACTATGCAGAGCCTCAGCCGCTTCCTTGGGACCGGCTCTCAGTTGCTTGCATCGGGTACTGCAAGTATGCCAGAAAGATGAGCAGCATCTCGTGTGTACCAGGTTGTGCGTGCTACTTGCCTTGGCAGAGGCACCAGCTGATTCTCGTGCAAAGATGAGAAAGAGAGAGAGAGAGAGAGAGAGAGAGAGAGAGAGAGAGAGAGAGAGAGAGAGAAAGAGAGAGAGAGCCTACACCACAGCCCTGGCGAAAGAAAGAAAAGAGAGACAGAGCGATGTGCCTGTAGTCCTAGCCTGTGGCATGTAAGACCATGCTCCCAACCAACTGCGGGCAGCCCCTTGGTGGGGGGCTCGCCCCTCATGCCTGGCGAAAGAAAGAAAAGAGAGAGAGAGAGAGAGAGAGAGAGAGCCCTTCAAGCACGCAACCCAGCCCCTAGACCCCTTAGCAAGCAAGCAAGCAAGAGCCCTTCAAGCACCCATACAGAAGGGCAGCGAAAATTGGAGAAGGAGTAGGCTCCACCAGCAGTATCGTTAATCAGGCTGTCGGTCCGAGCTCAGAGCAATGCCGCGGCGAATGTGAAGGACTTACTGGGCATGCTGGTCGCGATTGTGTTTTGCATTTCTCGGGGTTTCGCTCGCTTTGGCTGCCTGCCAAGGCCCAGAAGACCGTGCGCAGCGGTAGCTAGCTGCAACTGTAAGGCTTTTTGCGCCTGGTTGCAGTGTAGCACTGAACACCCTGCAACCACTAGAGGCCAGCGCGGCCGACAGGAACCAAGAAGGTCAAAGGAGCAAAACAGCCCTGGCCTCGGCGATTTCGCCAAACGACCACCCTATACCACCCTTCAGAGAGCAGGCACAGCTTGCTCCAGCTGAAGACCAGCTTGTCCAAGGCCAGGCTTTTTGCTGGAAGGATCCGGTTACCCCAGAAGCCCCTGGCCCTAGAACTTCGAGGCTGCTGTGTGTTACAGTGACCTGGACGAAGAATGGCTTCAGGTTGTTTTTGGGTCATGACTCATGACGAACACAGATACTCGTACTGTGACAAGAGGCGCTCTTATCGATAGCAGTAGGAAATGATGGACATGCGGGTTTCCTTCTCGTGATGGCGTCGTGGGAGAAAGATTTGGACACATCTTAGTTGGAATGTGGTTTGACACAGGCAGACTTTGTGGTTGTGATCTCATGCGGAACAGGAGATGTTCCGTTTACCACCGGGCGCTGGGCAGTTGGTCAAAATGCTTCTTGAGGAGACTCGAGCAGTGTCACCGTCGAGACTCTTAATTACAGTGGCTGGCTCGAGGGCAGGCCAATGATGAAGGCGCTTGCTGCGTCATGCGTTCGCCAGTTTGGCTCCTCCCTCAATGAAAAGCAGCGCAGCTACTGCACGAACATGATCTCAGGATGTGACGGATAGCTAGATACAGCTAGATGAAAATTCAGCTGCTGTTTCATTGGTCGGAGGTCAAGTTCTACACAAGACGTAGCAAAGCAGCGATCAGATGCCGCCTTTTCTGGAGCACTCCAGCTATGTTAGTGGGAATTTGATGCCTTCTTTACCCATTCCTACCATTCGGCGGCTGGTCAAGTCGACCGGGGTGGATGAGACAACCTTTTTGCTGTCTATCGGAGGTGTGGCTTTGTGCTACGGTTCATCCCAGGTTTATGCTGCGCCCGAGCGCCATAAGTGTATGTGGATTATGCTGTAGATTGAGGCTGGGGTCCAGAGCTCGATGGTGTCACCTCCATCTGACAACCTGACCCGAACAGCCGAAGATACCGCAAAATTTCAAGCGGGAGTGACCAACACCCGTATTCGCCGCGCTACACGCCTTAACCACAGCAGCGAACGGACAGAAAGACTTGGGTCACATGGGTGCTGGCCCCACAAGGGGTGGCTAAGCACTGCTATGCGCAGAAAACAACTGCGAAGACTTGAGCCAAAACACTCGGCTAAAACCAATGTCCTGGCCTCGAAGAAGACCACTTTTGGCGTTGAGGAAGACTATGCTGATGCTGTTGATGGTCCCGATGATGGTGCGGCTGCTGATGATGACGACGATGATTGCGAGGATTGCAGTCTGCGAAGGCCAAGCGCGTGGGGTATTTGCTGCGCCCGTTAGCGATGTGCGCAGATGCTTGAAGCCTGGATGACGGCCATGCTCGAATGTTTCCGACGAGAGCACAGATTCCGGAACCCGAACGAACGATGTCCAGGCTCTTAGTGCATCCGATGTGCTGAGCACACATGCTCGACCTTCTGAGGGGACTGTTATTTTCGTCAGAAACCGATAGCGGGGCCGAGGCCGTGCGGGCTCTTGTTTTCAAGATGCATCTTCCGTGTCAGGGGTGCGAATTTGACCTGCACTAGGCACTAGGTGTGCACTTCAACAAACTTGGTGAAGGATCGCATACAAGTGAACCGATAGCGGGAGTTCGGAAGGTGGTGCTTCCTCCAGAGGATGACGAGTTGGACCTGAGCACCTGAGGGCCAGCAGGCAGAACTCCAATGCCGAAGCGCATCACCGTGTTCCAAAAAAACAGTGGGTTGCCGGCAACAGGTGCAGGTGCAGGTGGTCCAGCTGTAACCATTCCGCTGGTATCATGCGCAGCTAGCTTGGCTTTGTCAAGCTAGGGACTGCTTCGGCATGCCTTCTGGTCGATACCAGCCAGATTCGACATGTGGCCTTGCGGGGCTGAGTGCACGTTGTTGATGCGACCCGGCATGAGTCAGACAGTCAGAGGATGCGCAGGAACTGCACCACGCGGGTTAGGCTCGTGCGCTGCCTCTGTGATCGTGACGTGGCTTCCGAGGAGTTTTCTGGATTTGCAGTCAGTGTTGCAGCTTTGGTCGGCAGTTCGCCGAGCTCGAGCGGGCCATGACCTTCTGTTGAATTGCTCTTTGCAAGTGACGGGGAATCTTGTGCCAACATTTGAACTGGAGTTCGTACTCTTGTTGTAGGTCCTTTGCGTCTCGGATCCACAACAGCTCAGGGAGCAGAGATGGCGACGCATCAGGATCTGGAAGAAGTGGCTTTCAGGCAGGTGGCGCGCGTGTTGAGTCTGACATCACAGAAGCGTCTGAAGTGTTGCAGCTGTCCTCGCAAGATGAGAGGCATGGCTGACATTGACATAGCCACGGCGCGCGAGTTGATCCATCAGATCGACGACTTAATGGGTCCGTGCCGCTGTATATCCGGGGCCTTAGCGCGGGACGTGGAGCTGGCCGTCAGCCGGCAGCTCATCCAAACATATCCGCACCAGCGCCAAGGGCCTGGCCCAGCCTGTTTTGGCTGTTCGACTTGGTGTAGCGGCTGTAGCGTATAGAGGCTTCCTTCAGTTTGGTTTTGGGTTAAGGTTCCCATTGTTGAACTCTCTAGTCTTACGAGTTCGGACGAGTTCCCTGCGGTGCGACATGTTTCAGCTGGGCGGGTGGCAAAAAATTGTTGTACTTTTTCCGAGGCTCGTGTCGGCTAGACTGCGGTGGGTTCTTCGGGTGCTACTGCTGCAGAACAAGGCATTCGATGCAGAATTGTCTATGGCAGGAATATTCGAGGTGACCTCCATAGCTCGTGAATCAATTCTGGAGGCCGTGACTTTGGGGAGGCTTCTGCTTCTGCCAGCACTTCTGACAGACGAGGGGGCTGGTCCTGAAATTCCTAACCTCAGCTTGTGGAAGTCTTTCCTTCACCAGTGTCATGGCCTGTGGCTGGATGCGTCACGCTGTCCTTGGAGTTCCATTGATTTCTATGGACACGGCGATGCAGTGCAGCTGAATCTGGAGGTGAGCCGCAGCGAGCTAGCTGCACTGTGCGATTTTCCGTCGCGTCCCTGGAGAGATGCCTTCGAAGCCGGCTTTGGTAGCCTTGGGAATGCTGGGAGGGCGACGATCTCGTTGTGGATCTCGACGGTAGACGTCACTGCCCACATCTGTTTGCCAGAAATGGACGGACACAGTGGACACAATCTACGTCTCAATTGTATCGTGCTTGGCTCCGACCTGGAGAAGATGAGTTTCTTTGGTGGTCAGAAAGGCCGCATTGAGATTAATTCAACTTGTGCATCTGCGGCTAAAGTGATTATGGTAAAGGACCTGGGGACTGACGCTGAACTTGATTCAGCTCGTTTCAGATGTACTCTGCGTGTGTTGGATGCCATGTTTGTGTCAAATTCAGTTGCATTGGTTTATTACTCACAACGCTTTACGCGTGCGTGTGTGTGTGTGTCCTTAACCTTTAAACTAGGTCTTGTCGCTTTCACTTTTGTCCCGCTTCTTCCCAACATGCAACCCCGGAAACCGCAACCTCCGTACTACAAGATCTTCGGCGAGTCCGAACAGTATAGACGATGGGACTATATGCAGGTGGAGGGATGGGACATGTGGCTGCTGGACAATTTGTGGTATTTTCGTGCTATTGCCTAGTTGGAAGGTAAACTTCCCAGTTCTAAGAGCACTTTACTTCCCAGAGCACGGTATCTAAAAATACCAGGCCAAACGGGACGCCTTCCAGCCAGCATCCTCACATTAAGCAGTCTGTCGGGAAGCCAGTACCGTTACGACCAGTGAATCGTCCTATTTGTTCAGGAAAGCTTCGAACGTCTCGCTGCGGCGGCATGCGAATCGTTGGTGCAGGTGTCTTGATCCCAGCTGAAAGAAGCTTGGAGCAAAACGACCTCCAATGATAATGTGCTGGGAGCGCCACAAATTCCTGGAACTGGAGCGGGGCTTGTAGCTTTTTGTCCGGGCAGCTTGTGCAGCAGAAGCCTCAGCCGAGAATGCGACTTAATGCGAATGTGCCCAGCCGCAGGTTTCATTTGGGTGAGAATTTGAACAAAATACCATAGCATTATGCCTCGGCTTCATAAGCAGCAGCTTCACAACGCGCCATCAGTCAACTAGGTACATGGTTTTTCTGGTGTCTGAGAACAGACGTATTAAATTGAAGCTCAATGAAGGAGGGAGTCGATTCATCTTTCCAACGAGCTCGCCAGCGAGGCGTCGCCATGGAAGGATACCCAGGTAATGGTAATCCGCCCGCTGACCCGTCAGCCACGGCCTCAGTCGGAAGCAACCGCAGCATGTGGATAAGGAGTTTATGCCCTGAGCCCTGTCGGCCCGAGCTCTACTAGTCTATGCTCTATGTCTGTTCGTGGGCTCCTTCGGACATGCTTTTGGTGCTGGCTATGGCCAGGCTCGCTAGCTGCAGTTGAGGCAGCCTGCAGTGCAAAAGGAAGTGTATCCAGCAGATATGGAGTCTGTGCAATCGAAGGCGCGGATGCAAATGTGCAGCTCTTACAGCTAGATCTAGCAATTCCTTTTGGCGGTTCAGACATTGCTTCTTTTCTGTGGTTGACTGATGCGCACGTCGACCCATATTATACGAGCTCTGACCGCCAGTGCATCAAGAAACAGATTCCTCAACTTGGGCATTATCCCTTCGGTGTGATAGGCTGTGATCCGCCCCCAGCGTTGCTCCATTCTATTCTCGAAGGAGCAGCTGGCTGGCTTAGAAATCACGCAGATACAAATTTCGTACTATTCACTGGCGATTTCGTAAGACATGGCTTGTCGCGGATGCAGGACCCCGGGGCGAATGCAACCGACATCGTGAGGAATGTATCGGCTCTGGCCAAGAGCTATTTTCCAGACCTGCCTATGGTCTTCGGAACTCTTGGCAACGACGACAGCTCCTGCGATTATTGCCAAGATATTACAACATCGAGCACTGTTAACAAATGGTTCTGGAATATCGGCAAAGCCATTAGTGACGCCGGTTGCATGACTAATGCGACACTTCAAACGTACAAGTACGGTGGCTTCTTTGACACAACCGTGGGGGACCTGACAATCTTGAGTATTTCCACGGTTATATATTCAATATATCACATCCCAGCCAGTCAGATAGAAGATGATCCTTTCGGCCAGCTTGCTTGGCTCAGAGAGAAATTGACACAGGCCGTCCAGCGAGGACGACGGGTCTGGATCATCGGACACATTCCGCCAGGCATTGAGACATTTGGCTTCACGGAATTGTGGTGGCCTGTCTACTTGACTAAGTACTTGGCAATAGTGCAAGATTCTGTGCTTGGGGTGGCCATCGCTGCTCAAGTTTTTGGACATGTTCACAAAGATGAGCTTCGAATTCTGCCAAACCCTCCGCCAGGGGCTGGGCCGATCATCCTGTCATCCTCAATCAGCCCCGTCTACTACAACAACCCATCGTTTAAGATAGTCCAGTATAACCGCAGCTCCGGCCAGCTTGTAAACTACAAGCTTATCTACTCCGAAATGACTGCTGAAGGGGAGCCCTTGCAGTGGAAGTTCGGATACGACTTGCTACAGACCTACCCTGAGTTGCAGAAATTGGGTACGGGCATGGATGCCGTGACGAACCTGACGGAATCATTAGTGGCAGGGAAAGATACCTGGAAGCACTATGCAAAGTGGTATGCAACAAACTATCCTAGCGATCTCCAGCACTATGTTGCGATGGCAGCAGATTCACGAGACGATGCAATCTGGAAGTCACAGCGCCGCCAGCAATACTTGTGTGCAATGACCATACAAACGGCCGCAGAATTTCGGGACTGTCTGGGTGTTTCTCAAGACGTTCCTCCACCACCCGCTTCGAGGGATGAGGTCGAGCGGCTGATGCTCGGCAGGCTGCTCGGCTGGGCGTCTTTATCTAATCTCGCCCCTGCCAAGCTTGTGATGGAGCTTGCTGCGAGGAACGACTGGGGGAAACTGCTTTCTCTTTTCGGAGAGTTGGTTGAGTCGAGCCTTCGCACTGGCCAGCCACTCGAGTCTGTCCTTGCTGAAGCACCTCCAGTTTCAAGGGCATCGTAGTGGGATTGGAAAAGTGTCGGGCGCGCAACTCCTTGATGTCCGTCGAGTGTTGTGTTTTGCTGTGTCGTGTGGTGCTCCTGTTTTCGTGGAGGCCAGGCCGGCTCGGCCTGCGACCTCCGAATCGGGCAGCGACAGCGATGGCGGAGAGGTGCCGACCTGTCGCCTTTGACTCGAAAGTGTCCGGCCGGAAGTCCCTTCTGCCGCATGAGCCCCTCCTGCAGGACTTCTTTCGTGATGCCATCGGCGTGGAGGCGACTGTGCTGCCGAATGCACGTGCATTTATCTTCTGGACGTGTCTCCATCGGTGTCAGGATCCAATGCTGGATGACGACGATTCGGATCAAGGCCTGCTGTTTTGCTGTTTCTTCGGTGGAGTATGGACTCGTCCCGCCAGGCCTTTCGCTGCAAGAGGTTGTGCAGGGCTTCATGAATATCAACCACAGTCACGCGCTCGTGCCCCAGAGGACCAAAGCATTGCCGCACCTTGTGTCACCATGCTTGTCGTGCCAGAGGAACATGGGAACGTACCAGGAGGACACCCGAGACATCAGGCTCTTCGCTGTCGTTGAAGCTAGCAATGGTTTCATTCAAGCTGTGACGAGGCACCTCCTCCCATGGGTGGACATGGTATGTCTCCCGGAACATCCAACGAAGCTACACACAACATCTGCGCTGCCTGTGTCAATTCCGCCATAAGGTTTGTGCCCCGCAAGTCACCGCTCAGCAGAAAAAGCCAGGATCTCACCATGCAGGGTGTTCAGAGCAACGGGCGCTGCAGCCTCTGCTTAACAACGGGTGTTATGTGCGAGACGTCTGCAGGCGGTACCTCGAGGAGCTGAGTTTCGCCCTTCGGCCACAAGAGCTGACTCCACAGGCCGTCAGGGCAAAGCTTTCGGACAAGCGTTCGCCGTTTCTTCTCGCAGAGGCGCGTGAGATGTTCGTTCGTCAAGCTTTACATCGCGGCGTGGCGCGCCACCTAACTGTGGCTTACGTTTGCAAAAGCACGCAGTTGGTGCACTCCGAACTTCTTTCGACATGGAATTGACCGAACGGCCGCTTGGGAATGGTACTCTCGCTTTGTGAGGTTCCCGAGGCTGTAAGGCTCATCGAGCCGGATGCTCGGATACTTGACGATTTGTGGCGAGCATCTTGAAGCCACCGCCTGAAGCTGAACCATGCAGGAGTGCCTCACCCACGGTTGCAGCGGCTGCCACCAACTTCCTGGGCGACTTCGCCCGGCCCCCGATAGAGGCCGCGAGGCGGCTCGCACGAATCGCACTCGTAGACCGTGGGCCGTAGGCAGCACGTGCAGATGCTAAGCTGAGGCTTTCAACTCCGACATGGGATCCAAGGAAGTTCTCAAGGCCGTGCGCCAAGCGCCGACATGCCGATGACCTTTGTGTCCAAACCTGCCTCAGCCCCTATCAGCAGTCTCCACAAGGTGGTTCGAGGTTTGAATGGTTGACGGTCTGTTGACGTGCCTGGCGGCCATGTTTCATTCGGAAGGGCAGTCTGGGAGTCCAGGCCTCTGAGTTCTGTTCGGAAGAGACTGGATTTCAGTTACGGGTGAATCAGCAATGCCGCTCGATGCCTTCAACATCGAAACTTGTTGTAGGTGTTGACTTGCCTTTTCCAAAACGCAGACTGGCCCCCTATCCCAAAGTTGACATCAGCAGCCGAAATGGCCGCATCTGGCATCCGTCTTCTGCCAAGTTTTGACACAGGCCTTGTCGAGCCGGTGCACAGTCCCCACGAATTGTGCGAGCAAAACAGCATCAAAGAGCTACCAGTCGTGAAGCGGTACACAGTTCTTTTTGGATTTGTGCACGCGCCTCACACCAGGTTTTCGACCGGATTGCAGATCGCTTTCAACATCTTTTCTCGTCTTCCTCGGACAGGGCTGGGCCCAGACGTGAGCAGTCGGATGTAGTTGCGGGCAGTACTGCGTCAGCGAGTTCACTCAGAAATTTGCAGGCGCTTATGCTGCACGACGATTGGCTCTTACAGGTGTGGAGTCCAAGAAGACCGAGTCAACATCAGACCGGCAATTGCACTAAGGCAGCCATTCTCTTGTGCGTCAACATTGCCGCGACCTGTGCTGCCCCAAGATTCAAGATCCTCACATGACGCCAAAAGCTGGCGTGTCTTCTGTAGGTCCAGCCGGACACATGAAGCTAGTAAGGCTTGTGGCTGGCTCAGCTTCTGCAAGTAGGAGCCGTGGCCACAGAGACGCTTCCTACCACTCATATTGCCTGTGAGAGGTGCAGCCTGTTTGCTTGAAGATTCTGCAGAGCAAACAGGCCCTTCAATCCGGAGCCTCCACGTATTGTATGCCTTTGCTGAATCGGCAGGTAGGCGACAAGCTTCGTGGCAACACGATTCTGCTGTTGGCCACGTCCTCACCACCAATGCTACTTGGTGTGCCGTGCATGACTGCAGTTGGATCGAAAGCCTGTGAACAGGGCTTCCTTTTGCCGCGACAGGCCAACTTGTCCATGACCGTGTTGGGCGAGCTGCGTGAACTTCACGTGGACTCGGACTTGGACCGGTAAACAGACAGGGCTGATGTTGGACGTGGCCGGGCACTCCTCCCAACTGCATGAGGCAAACGTTCTTCTGCAGTTGGTGTCGGATGGCAACGTCAGCAACCATGGGAAGAGCGTGGCAGAGCCGTGGTCCCAGTCACAACGCACGATGACCCGGACAAGGGCAGAGGAGTTGCATATGTAAGGTCGGTGATCATATTTCTGCACGGCGAGAAACAGTGCCATCAGGTAGCTGCACGATGATGTCCCAACATGCCTTCTTCTGCTTGATGTTCGCTCACGATGCGCTTTTCGCGCCGTGCCCTGACAGACTCTGCAGGTTGATATACTGATGGAGAGGGATGTTGTCAGCAGCTACTGCGTTCCGATCATGGTGCTTGCCCCAGTCCTGGAAACGGTGGCATCACCCAGCAAGGATGCAACTCTTGCACGTGTCAGGAACACACCTTGAAGGGCACGGAGTTTCGCTGGAGACTTGGTTCCGGACTGTAGAGGACCTGATTTTCCGTGCCTGTGTTTACCCGTGGGAGGTGGCATGTTTCCACACCTCCTGTACAGCGCTAAGCTCTTCCAGGTTCTGTCCAGGCGCACAAGGGTTCAAGTCAAAGCGCTGGAGATTGTCGCTTATTATTCAGCTGAGGTCCGCTTTCGTTAGTCCTCTAAGAGCTTGAGATGTTGAGACATTTGCCAAATGGATGGCAGCTCCGAAGCGGCTACACCAAGCGTTTGTCTGCGACCTTCCGCTCGCTTTGGCACGTAAGCATCTCCAGCTGCCAGCTTGCACTGGCTTGCACTGGCTTGCAGCCTTCCGCAAGGTGTCGCCTCTATGCAGAGAAGCTGGTGGAAGACACTCGTGCTGCTTGGCGGGAGTCGTATGATTCAACGGCGCATAGACAGGAACTCTTGTGACCACAGTGGCAGCGAATCATTGCAACAATGGCGCCCGAAAGCGCAAGCGGTTGAACAAGTGGCAAGATTGATGGAGGATCGGACGCCTCCCAAGAACGGAAGGTGCAAGCCTATGGAGGATGGCTGACATTGCATGGGACACTTGAGGGGTCAGCTTGTGTCCGGTATCATGATCTACGGAGCCACAACCTACACAGCCTATATCCTTTCTCAAGGTTAGCCAGAACAGGCTTGCTTTTCTCAGGTGCTATGGTTTTGGGAAGTATGAGAAAGTGCACCCAGAAACGCCAAACACCCTGCGGCCATCTCTGAGCGGCCCTGATTGATCTGCGACCAGACATTCGTCCAAATGGCGTCGTCAAGCCTCGAACAGGGCTCGATAAAGTCGGGAGTCCAGGTCTTTCCCTTAGCGTTGTCGATGAATGCGATGTAATGTAATGTGGCGGCAGGCGACTGGCGAAAGGGATCACCTGGACGAGAATCTCCAAGACATAGATGGAGACGCCCTTGCGGCGAAGGGCACTATGTGCTCAGGTCTGATGACCGGAAGACGTGGTCGCCGAGAAGCAGCGCGAAGCCCCAACCATCCGTGCAACTGCCCACCCCAGGAACGTGCTCGCCAGGTTCCACGTGCCCTACCTTCCACGTTTAGGATGACGCTTACCGCCTATGAGGCGGACGCTTTCTTCCTGGACGAAGAAGGGCTCCTGAGTGGCTGCTGGACCTAGTTTTGTGGTAGACGGTGCCGGCGCGTCGTGGGGCAGGGAGTGCGCCGGGAGGGTGCAGAAGTTCGTACCGTTGCACACCCCGACGGGCCGAAGTTTTGGTGGGCGGTGTGTCCGGCCGGGCTCAGCTCGCGCTTCGACCAAAAGGGCACCATGCAGTAGCTTTGGCTCACACGTCATGAGCAGACTGCGGCGTGTTCAATGAAGGGAAATATAATATTTTCTAAGCTCCCATGAAGACATGAAGTCCGGAGGTGCCTCGTTGTGAAAAACACCCAGAGACTTGTAGAAGAAAGTTTGCACGTGCCACCGGCCGCCGGTCTCATCCGTGACGTCCTCCATTCCGTCTCCTTGCTGCTGCCAATGGTCTTGGAATTCAAGCTTCTCCCCGGTCACGGTGTTGATCGCCACGGTCCGCCGGAAGGGGTACAGTAATTGTGCAGCTGGTGATCGTAGTCCTTGTCGTCGCTGGGCTCCCTGACCGGGTCGTAGATGTTGGTCCGGGGTCGCACATGTACCCGAACAAGAACATCACCGAGTTGCTCCCAGTGCAGAGTGATTGTCAATGGTATCCACTTGAGTTGGTGTGTTGTTGGGGGGGTGCCAGAAGGGCCTGAAGTTCCTGACGATTTTTGTTCCTCTCGGTTGTTTTGTGACGCATTGCTGTGGATTCGAGGCAATTCCGCTGCTGCTCAAGGCTGTGAATCCACGAGCGCCTCCTCCAAGAGCCAAGGCCTCAGCAGCGGACATAAGTTTTGGGCAATTGTGAGCTCTACGGTCGGACCCTTTTGTTGTAAGAACCCCTGCATGATGCTTATGCCACAAGGTGGAAACTGATTACGAAGGCCGCCGGTTGGTGTTGCAGGCCCACGTGTGTGACTGCATGCGAGATGTCTGGTGTATTGCTTCTGTGCCTACAGGCCCTCTGGTCACTTGCAAAGTATCGTTTGTGGCCGTCTCCAGATGATGTGGCCTGGGGCTTACAAGCAGCAGAGACGAGGCACTCTGGAATGCGGCTCACCTTGTGCAGCCGTGCCGCAGGATAGTCAGAAATTTCTGGACAAGGCGTTCTTGTAGAAGTTAATCTGATCCTTAGCTTACCACCTTGTCCGTGCTTACCCCATGCTAAGAGCAATCCGCAGGGCCTGCCGATGCTCTGCGAAGACCGGCACGTGGGGATTCGAACAGCCGCGGCAGGCGCACAGATAGGTGGACCAGAGAAGAAAGGGACACCCAGCAAAAACTTGCGATGCAGGGATCTTCGCTCAAATTTTCTATCCTAGTGTGATCAGATTACTCGCTGCTGCGGCCTCGGAGTGCAAGCCAACCAGCAATGTTGATATCAGAAACTCTGCCTAGGTCGGAAGGAGGCTGGAGATTTCTGGCCTACTTCCGCCCGGGTTGGTGGCTCAGTTTGGTGCGCATGTTTCTGTGTGTGTGTGCGCACGTATGTGCCGGAGCCCCGGGGCGCCTAGCTTTTCGACTTTGTCGCCTCAGGTTTTGGAAGCTCCGCATTGCGTCGCAGCTATTTCCGTTCCTGGCGGAATGTCGATGAGTACATCAGCGTGTTTGGCATCGTGCCATTGAATCATTGAACCGAATTTATCTCGTGGAGAAGGAGTGTTGTCGAGGTGACGCTGGCTGCCCACGCCAGGAAAAGCGTGGCATGGGGCAGTTGCATCCCACCTCCCGGGGGCCTCTGGTAGCGACTAAAAGTTTCATTTCACGATCTGAAGGTTTCCTCGAAGGGACCATGGTCAGGCATGAACTTTTAAGACCTCGTGAGGTCAGCCGCACGTCCCGATTATTGTGTCGAGCTAGAAGTTGTTTCACCCGCGAAACAATACATGCGTGATTGGTCAAAGTTGCTTGCTGCATGCAGTGTACAGCATGCATTCCTTGTTCGGTATGTCATCCGCTCTTCTCGTCGTGGCAACGGCTCCAGTTCGCGCAGTTCGAGGCCTTCCATGGCCTCGCGTTCGACAGAGAATGGCCACGGGTGACTCGCACGCTTGCACCGAGCGCTGGGAATGACCTTTGCGCCGGGTGAGCAGGCAACCCTGGAAGGCGAGCTTGTCTTAAGCTACAACCAAAGCGTGCCGGACAGTTCTTACAGCTCCAGAGCGAGACCAAGGAGATTATCCCAATGTCTGCTTTTGTGACCCACATTTCCTCGTTTCTGCAAGTCTTTGTAACAACTGAATCAGGCCAGCTGGTAGCTCGAGCCTGCTTCAATTTCAACCTTCGCCACAAAAGCCATAAGTCAGCATTCCGTCATACTCCATGCCATCAGTTGTTGCTGTTGCCAAGAGCGACGTGCCGCCGAAGGCATGTTGGATCGACTGCGGCATGCCATTCACTCGAGATTCGGCTGCACACATGAATAGTACTTGGGGCATGCAGATATCCCACGCCTACAGTTTTCGTTCATGCCTAAGTCGTGGTTGATCTCTTTTCTGCTCGAGAACATGAAGCAAGGGATCTAGTGAAGTCCCAGTGCCATGCGCATCTCAGGCCCAGCCCCCGAGCACGCAGAGATATCGACCACGAATGGCGCGCTGCAATGCCCGAGGGATTGCGACGTGAACTGGAGTCTTTGCTATCACGGCTATGTAATGTTGTTTTTTCGAGGAGCTTCGGTGCTTGACTTTGGCTGTTTTTGCAAAAGAAGCACCAAAGAACAAACACCACGCACACGAGGACAACCTCCCTTCCGCGTCACTGCTGCGCTTGGAGCCGCCAAAGTCGTTGCCTTCAGCGCAACTGTCCACGTCTCCGAATGACAAGTGCAGGACACATACCGTGCATACGCCGCCGTCTGTTGTTTCAGATGTCTTTCTGGGAACCAAATGTCCGATTGTGGACGTATCTGCGCATGACCAGCAGCATCTGCGGCAGTTCTTCAACCCAACTTCTCAGCGACCTGTTGTCTTAAAGGGCTTTGGGCGATGCTTGCTCGATCCGTCCACGCCATGGACGCTGGACAATCTTGAGAGACTGTGTGGACAGCAGCTGGTGGAGGGCGTTCGAGTGGCCAGGCCAGGCTCTACGACTTTTGACTATGCAGATGAGGGAAAGAACTTGTGCTTTTCAGACTCCTCCGCGGAGGGTCAGCTTGAGCCCATGCTGTTTGCCGACTTCGTCGCACGATTGCAGGCATCCAGCCGAAGTCCCTACTACTTGTGGGCCGTTCTACTGGCCGCAAAGGCTGACCGGGACAACCTTGTCCGCAGCCCGCTGGCAGAGCTTCTGTGGCAGGAGGGCCTGGGAGCATTCAAGTGGGACGAGCTGGAGCCGTTGCGTGAACTTGGTGATTTGGGCCGCGTGAAGAACATGCAGCTGTTTTGCAGCGGTGCAGCAGCCGTGACGGGATGTCACTACGATCAGAGCCAGAATCTCTTCCTTCAGCTGGATGGTATGAAACGCTTCGTGCTCTTCCCGCCCATGGTCGGGGCATCGTCCTTCCTACCCTTTCCCATTTCGCATCCTAGGGATCGCTGTGCACGTGCCCGCCTTGATGAAGGCGCGCCTTCTCAAGACGGTCCTTTTGTCTCTTCTTGTCGCTATCCCTGTGCAGCTCTGGCGCACGGACAAGGAATTGAAGCTGTCTTGGAACCAGGCGACTGCCTCTTCCTGCCTCAGATGTGGTGGCACCACGTGGAATCGCTTGCTGAGGAAAACGTTTCGCTCAGTATCTGGTTTCAGGGTGGTGCTCTGGAGCAGCGTCCGTTGCCCGCACGACTGCTGCGACCCGTACCCAGCGCTTTAGCTTTGGAGCTTGTTCGGGAATGGGAGTTTTACTTGGCGACGAAAATGGGCTCCTTGGCAAGACCGCTTGATTCCTGACGGCACCCTCAGGGCACATAGATGTTTAGGATTGTTGTGTGGCTTGCGTGGACTGTTCGCTAAGAGTTGATTGAAATCAGGTTATGGCGCTGAACTAGCAGCTTGTCTCTGAATTGGCGCTGTGCAATGACCGGTCGGACAGACGAAAGACTGTATCAGAGACGTTGTCTCGTTTCCACAGGTCTTATTCACGGCCTGGCTGTCATGTAGCTCAGGCAGGGCATCCTTATAGGATCCAGGATTCTCCCAGTACGATATAACGAGTTGCAGATGGCTTTTTTTCTTGCAGGGGCGGCTGCGAGGGAAGCTGGCCTGGAACCGCCCCCCAAACTTGCGGCTCGTTGGTTGCGCTGCGGTACCTTGATCCTCCAGCATGCTGTGCGACTCTTGCCGACGGCCTTGCTGCACCTCTTCATGGGTGTCTTGACAGACCATTGTAGCAAGGTTTTCCAGTTCCTGCCACTCCAGTCATGAAGTCGCAGTTCGAACTGTGCCTGCCGCACAGGTGCGTTCAACAGCCTTCGGTTTCAGGGTTTGGAAGGGCGGAGTGGAGCAGCGGCTATGCCTTGCACACCATTCGCTTCATGCTCACTCCAGGGGTATGTAAATCGACGTGCTGACAGCGCCGGTACACGGCATGGCTTCAGCTGCAGAACCCACTGTTCACGTGCCAGGTGGCCGCCTGCGAAAGGCAAAATGGTCCAGGGTAGTCGGTAGCTGCGTTGGCACAGCCAGAGACCAGCTCGGTTTAGGACATGTTCGACTCATTGAAGCTATGGGCCTTTTGTTGCACCTAGTAGGAATTCTGGCAGCTTACAGCTGTTTGTCCAACGTTCAAGCGTGACAGTGCCAGCATGTGCCAGCATCTGTCAAAGCCGCATTCTACAGTGATAGAACAAAATTCATTCGGGTGATCCTGCTTGTCGGCCTGCATGGACGTCTTCTGATATCTGGCAAGTGATGCTAAAGTTCTGCAAAGGTGAGACAGGTGAGTCAACGAAGGCTGGAGCGCGGTGGCTTCTTGGAAGTGATGTCAGTGACGTGCCACCCCGGTCCACGGAGTTGGGCTCACGGAATTCCAAGCCACAGCTGCAGCACCCCAGTTGGCGAGGGTGCAGCCTTCGCGGGCAGTCTTTACTTGCCACGCAAGCTTTGGTTCGGCACGCGTGGCCAGCAGCGAGACAGGCATGAGTGGCAGAAGAATTTGTCCAGCTACTTGCTGGCCACGCTGACCCTTCTCAGAGTCAGCTGGCGCCGAACGGATCTTGGCCGCGAAGCCTGGGAAGTGGAAGGTTGGCCCTGCAGTCGCGCGGCTCGGAAGAGAAGTGGTCACCCGAGGGTCACGACGGACTGCCTTCGGCAGCTCATTCAAGACATCGGAATGGGCCCTCGACTGGGACTTCTGCAGATCCAGCCAAAGGAGCTGTAGCCAGAGTATATTCGTAGTGAACACCGGCATGTGCCTAGCAGCTTTTGGCAGAACTGTTCGCACTACCGGTTGAAGCAGTCATAAGAAGCTACTGGGTGTGCCCGATGGAGGAGGATCCAGAGCTCCTGTTGAAGCTCAAGGGCTTGATGAAGGCAGCACTTGCCAGATCCAATGACTTGCTAGTGAACGATGCCCTGAGGCTCCTGAGCCGGCTTATGCGGAAACGAGGCTTGATTATGGAGCCCAAAGCCTTCAGGGGAATCTCACGAAAGATGCTTCAAAGCGCTTTGCTGATGCAGTGTCCTGACCTCGATCAGCTCGAGGCCGGTGTTGCTTGTGCGGACGCTGGCTTCTGACTTGTCCACTCCAGCCGCCCTTCAAGTCCCGTTGAGGCCGAAGCTATCAGCGCAGGGTCATTTTGGGCGCAGAGCCTCTCGAATGAGCGGCAGAAGCAAGAATTCTTCCGCAGAAACGAGCAACTCATGGCTCAGCTGGTGAATCACGACCTGCCATTGTGGTTGGGGTGCCCTTCGGCCCGCGATGCCGATGCCTTCCGCCTTCGCGTCGCCCTGGACTGTTGGGATCGGAGTGGCTCTCGCGAAGATGTAGAAGGTGGGGTTAGGTTTAGATTTTGTCGTTTGTCATTGGCGAATATTGGCGAAAATTTGCTTGAAGAACCTGTATCGTCAGTCCAGCGGACAGTATGGCAAGGCACCGGACTGTATGGAGCTATCTGTATAGAGCTGGGTGAACCAGAACGGGCGAGATCGTATTTTGAACATCTTGAAGCACACGGAATCGATCTGCGGCTTGCATACCAGCCTGCTTTTCTCGAACAGCTTGCAGCTGTTAACCTTTGGAGTGGCAGCGTGCAGCCGGCAGGTTCAGCAGGCCCAGCCATGTCCAATCGTGCTTGCCTTCATGTGCATTTAGTCCCGGGCACTCAGAGAGACACCAGGGGCAGGTGATTCTCTGGATCTGGCTGGCCTGGTCCAGAAGGCTGCTCAGCTGGCATGCATGGGTGTCTCCACTGGCATCTCTCGCAACTTGAGTGCAACATGCTATGAACTATCATCGGGTCGGGAAGCGGGCAGACACAGTGCCCTACGCGCAGAGGTAGGCTGCACGGGGCGGTGTTGTTCAGTGGCTGCCACGGCTACGAAGTACTGGCAGAAGGGTTCAACCACCTTGCCGAACCCTTGCAAGCGCGGAGCCTTGGCAGAAGACCTTCATGTTGCGAGTTAAAGTAGCTCAAGAACTCAAAGCGCAAAGGAGAGCCGGCTCGTCGCTCAAGCTTCGAGCTGTCCAGCGTCATGCGGAGGTTGCCCAGAAGTTCTGCACTTTCAATGGCTGACTCACGATCCGTTTCAGGGCTCAGTGCAAACCTGGCCGTCCGCACGCATCTAAGCTGGACGGTGTAAGGCTGTAATGCAAGTGGAACACTTTTCAAGAGCACCAGCATCATCCCAGTCGGAGCCCTTGTGCATGAAAGCAACAAAACTTGCAGGTGCACTGTCTCCTGCAGTTGCCTCGGCTGGCAGACGCGAAGGGCAAGCAGATGTTGATCGTGGAGATTGCAGACGTAGGACACATGCAAGTGCAGCCTGTGAACCTGGTCTCGCAGTTGCTTTCCAACCCCAGGGATGCACATGTTCAAATTCTGCAGCAGCACGAGCCACCTGGAGATGCCGGGCACAGAAGCTCGTGCTTTGTACTTCTACACCCATACCATACCTTCGATGAAATCACTCGGCTAGTGTCGGCGAATTTTGCAGCAACCCCACGTGCAAAGTAGCTCTCTTTCGCGGTAGACACCATTAACCGTCATTAGCCAGTCTTCGGTTCGGAAGATGGGGGAGCTTTCCAAGCGAATTACTGCGCACCATTGCGGTCAGGAAAGCTGAGGTGTTCAGGCTCTGTCTTCGATAGCTTTTGTCGAATTCCACTGCTTTATTTTGCTTCCTGCTGCTGCGTGGTTGCCCGGCCAGAGGTGGAGGGTGTGGAAGGCTACATGGTGACAATTCTGCCGCTTTCAGTGCACCGTGCGCACGATTTCCATCTCTGGGTACGGGATATCTACGGCGCAACCGGTGCAACGTTTCGCCGAGGGAGAAGATGATATGATAGAGCCCAACTGGAGGAATCTGGAGGATGTGTGAGGCATGTGATTCGACATGGCTGTGCGCTAGTCCAGGGCAGAAGTACGGCGAGCTTGTCTGGGGGGCAATTCCGTGTTGTGAGAGGCGCACGAGGGCATGCATGACAGTCAGCGTGATCTTTCCAGAGAAGACTTCATATCAGCGGATGAGGGCGACATAAGTAACAAGGCCATAGGGTGACCTTGTGACTCCCGCTTTGCACTTTTCTCCAATAGAGCTAAGACGTGCGTCAAGTCCTGTGCTTGTAAATGCGCTTCGGCTCAGAGCTTCAGTCAATAACAATTTCATGGCCTGCGCTCCACTAGCAGTGCGCCTGAGTGGCTGCAGGCATCCTAGCAGTGCTCTTGCAACGTCGACGTGCCAGCCCTGTGTCCCGCGCTCGCAACACTCCAGCTTCTGCTGTGCTGTTCTCCTTGCTACCTACTGTGCACTCCACAAGCCGCGCAATCGGACAAAAGCCAAGAGAACATTACGCACCGGCATGGGTGCAGTATTTGGGAGAAGCGATGCGGAGGAGATACAGACATACTTCCGCGGGAAGATCATTTGGGTCACTGGTGCCTCAGGTGGCTTCGGAGAAGCGTTGTGTGTTGCATTATGCCAGAGCGCACAGCCAGAGGCTTTACTCATCAGTGCAAGGCGAAAGGAGGAGTTGCAGAGAGTTGGGTCCAAGTGCATGGAGCTATCACCGAGCGTGAAGGTGGGAGTTGTGCCCATGGATTTGGAAGACATTTCCTCCTTGCCTGAAATAGCCAAGAAAGCAAAGGCTTCCTTTGGCCGGGTGGATATTCTTGTGAACAACGGAGGAGTGGGTTTCCGCGGTTTAGGTCAAGAAACATCTATCGACGTCGACCAGCGCGTCATGAACATCGATTTCTTCGGAGGCGTTGCCCTTGTCAAGGCTCTTCTACCAGACTGGCTGGACAGGCAGACAGGTCACGTGGTGCAAGTGTCTTCCGTCCAAGGCTTCTTTGGGCTTCCTGGCAGAACTGCATATGCAGCTGCAAAGCATGCGGCAGTCGGCTTCTATGATTCTTTACGCGCTGAAGTTGCAGAGAGTGGCGTTTCTGTAACGACCGTATGCCCAGGGTATATAGCAACCGGTCATAGTCAGAATGCCTTGCGAGGTGAGGGAGTCAAATATCCGGAAGGTCATACCAGCAAAGGTGTTCGCCCCGAGCTTCTGGCACCCAAGGTTCTTGCAGCTGTTGCCCGTAGAAAACCTGAGCTGGTCCCTGCAGCCCTAGATGCTAGGGTGGCCCGCATTTTGCGGACTTGTTGTCCCAATTTGTTATTTTGGATAATGCAGAGGCGTGCCCGCAAGGAAGCTCGCGAGCGCAGTGCTGCCACCGACAGTGCAGCCATCGAGGGTAAGAAACTGTCTTGAGACAAGATTGACACGTGGAGGTGCGACATCCCAAAAAGCGGATTTGCCTGGACTTAGCTACACGGGGGCAGCCGTGAGCAGAAGGCACCCGACTGGTAACACATCCAGCTTCCTTCTGGCTCGGAAGGACCTTGCTTGGGCTGGGCCGAGCCTTGCTCTCGCGGCTGTGTCCAGCTGCTCACTAAGCGACTCGCACGCAGAGATGCGACAAGAGTCAGAGTCATGTCCGATGCCCAGGGCCCAGACATGACATGGAGCCGTTCAGTTGCCTCGTTACAGGTACGGTCTCTCCCCGATCTTTTTCACCGATGGGAACGGTTCACTTGTAGAGCGTCGCCTGCAGCACGACCCAGACTTGGACGTTCCGTGCCTTCGGCCTTCGCAAGATCTGGTTGTCGCTGTGGCCAAGCATGTCGTCATTAGCCGACACGGTGCAACATGTACCAAGGTATAAAACTTATGCGAGACGTCTCAGTGATGACCGTATCTCGGAGAGGGCATGGATCGACGTTTCACGCAAGATAGAGATGGAAGGGGCAGAGCGGACAGAAGTGTGTTTCATGCTTGATAGCGATGAATGTGGGGTTTGACGACTTGTTTTTGCTTGACATGCTGTTTATGTGCAGTTTGCACTTTGCAATGTTACTCGGGAAATTTGCTTCACAGTTTGTAGAGATCATTGATGTTGCTGATTCCCAGTCACCTTTTGATTTCGGCTTGGCTGTGAACGATGCCTACACTTTCGTAGCAAAAGGCACTTCAAACAGTAGAGATGGCAGATACCGCCGGCATTGAAGCACTCCTTGTTGCAATCTTGTTGCAGAAACAGTACAAGCTCACAAATGCCGATATGCACTTTCCAAGTCTTTTCTTGGGATCCAGGGACATGGCGTGCCGTGCCGTCCAATCCAGGCGCCACACGCCGGCGACGAAGTAGATAACAACGAAAGACTACAATATCAGATTATCATTTTTTGGTGCGATTTCTGGACACTGGTGT